ATTATACTGCCTCCCCCGACTCCAGACCCCCACTTCTTCCAAGTGCAAGTATTCCCCTCTTGGGATGCACTAATTCACACAATTGGCTGCAAATGTTCTTTGGACAAAGGTTCCCACCTTATCGAGCGCCGCTTTATCACTGCCAGATGTTTAAGTAAAACATCGCAGCCTCACTATATATGTGTCTAATCCCAGGAGCAGGTTTAGCCGCATCCTGAGGCAGAGCGTGGGCCCCGGGCCTCCCGCCGAGGTCGACATCAGCGATCTTTTCTCGTTAGCTGGTGACACTTTGAGCGTAGAGAGTTTGTTTACGATAAACCGCCAAATTCCCAGCATCTGTGGGAAAATTCATGTGGAGGGATAGAAGTGTGTCCCTTCTGGTGATTGCTGTACCATCGCTGGAGTAAACACAGTTTGTTTTCCCTCAGACCTCCAAGATTACAGCGGGAACGCGGTGGCCCAATCCAAAGACCTAAACGACAACAATAAACATCTGGCTTGGAGACATGCTTTGCAGATACTTCACGAGATCTCATATTAAGATGATTTGACGTGACCCTGGTTTATTTGTGGACAATGTGGACATTCCTTACTGTAAATGACTCTGTTGTTGTGGCTCAGCCAGAAAGCATCCTCGAGGTTAAGAGATCAAACAGCTTTCAAGCATTTTTTTTTATAAAAGTCATTTCATGCTGCTTGACTTCTGTGCAGACTTTTTTCCCCCTGTTTATGCCATTAAGCTCCAAAATCTTTTAAGTTTGCTCCTCTGACTGGTTCTTTGAACGAATACAAAAGTCTGCACATTTAGGCTAAATATGGATTTTTTTCCTCCACTATTTAATCTCAGATGCACAGTACTTGGCAAAAGTATGTATTTTTTCTTGAACACGTTCACATTTTGTGAACAGCCTCAATCTTGACTCGATATTACGTTAATTTTATTAAATAAACCCATGCAAAGTTGTGCAGTGATTGTGATACATCTTTTTTAAACGATAAACATCCCATCTGTAGTATGCTACGAGCTCTGTAGGGGCCACAACAAACAGGCCTTTGGTCAAATCTCTTCAGAACTGAAGGCTTTGACTTTCATTCAAAACTCTGTGTGTGAAAGAAAGCTAAAACTACACATCACCCTGAACGCACCGTCCCCATGGTAGACAGCGGTTGGGGTGTTTCCACAGTAGGAACAAGGAAGCTGGTCAGAGTTGATGGGAAAATTGTTGGAGATAAAATGATTTAAATCCTCTGAGCATCCTTTGCAGCCTTTAGCACTGCTAAAGGCTGCAAAAAGACTTAAGACTTTCACTTTCCAGCAGAATAACACCCCTCACCAAACAACCAGAGCTGCTACAAACTGATTTAGATAAAAGCATGTTGAAGGAAAAAGGTCTGGTGGCTTCCTTCTACAATTAGGATCCTGGATTTTGGAGTGAAATCCAATCTAACCTAACCATGTTTCCATTCCAAGTTTAAAAAGCATGGGGGTTTCCTTTTTGGATTCTTAATAATCAAGCTAATTATCATTAGCAGCATTTTGTCCCTTTAAATACTTTGGCATGTGTCCTAAAGAAGGTTGTGTAAAACTGTCAATGTGAAAAATTTATTAAGAGCCTTCAAATGTACAAAAGCCTCTTTACTGCTGCAGAAACCACTTTATTACATTCATTTTATTAAAAAAATATTATAAAATATCTTAGTTTTATTTGTCAGTCAGCCATATTGGATTTTTAATCCAGAGCTGGTGTCAAACCTCCAACTCCCTACTTGGAGTGCTGATTTCTGGAGGAGTTTCTATCAAATTTTATCCAGTTGGTGGAAGTGTTTTTTTGTTTGTTTGTTTGTTTGTTTGTTTGTTTGTTTATTTTACTTATTTCTTTTAATGGTCTGATACAACAATTTGAAAAATGCTAAAACCTGGTCTTACCTGAGACTGTTTATTCATCTTTTAGCTTTATTGTAAAAGGTTTGATGACTTCTGGTTCAGGTCAAGTCAGACTCATGTGTCAGAATGGTCCAGTCAAAGTTCAGACATAAATCCAGTTGTGAATCTGTGGCAAAACATTCATAATCAGAATTATGTGGTGCTTTTTGTTGCTCTGTCACATAAAATAATAAAAAAATAAATAAATAAATAAATAAATGTTGTGGATTGAATGTGACAAAATTAGAAAAGTCAAGATTTTTGCAAGGAGCTGTACAGGCATGAACTCTAAAACTCCAACCGTAAGAGTTTTGCTTATTTTGTCAAACTGTTGCCATTTTAAATATGATTTGTTAGCCCTGACCATGCCAAGCAACACATGCCTTTGGCGTCGCTTGGCTGTTGTCGTTCAAAGCCCTCGTCACCGACAGTGAGGTTAGGGGCTTTATTTTGAGCGCTGACGAATAGCTTCCTCACGGCACGGACCCTCGCAGCTTGCTGCTGCTGGGCCTCCTGGGACAAAGTGACCCCTCCACTCTTGCCGTCATCACAAGCAGGGCCCCATGTGTATCGGCGGTCCTGGGAAAGTTTTAGATTAATGCTGTGGGAACATGAACTGTACACAGACATCAGCGACAAAAACAGAAAAAGGAGGGAAGGTCTCTGTGTGTGCGTGTTTGGCGTGAGAGTACATCCGTGTTGCAATCTAATGCATGTCCATATGTCAAGTATTTTTTGGTGCCAATGAGAATCTAGAAGTTTGTACGTTTCTGCTCATTATCCATCCGCCTTTCCTTCACCTCATTTTATTAGAACCAGGAGGCGGGGGAGGAAATGGACCAGCCGTGTTTTTTGGAACTGCTCAAGCGCTTTGAGCTTTTCGCTTTGGGAACGGAAGTGCCAGAGGCTGTTAATTTAGGGAGACAAACGTGTATCTGGTTTGAGTAACAGACTGACTTTAGGCTTATTTCTGTGTGCCAATCTGTTAGGGACATTTCAGCTGTTTTATACCTGAAAGCATATCTATGAAAAACCCCTGGAACACTTATCAATTAAACAGCTGAGAAAATGTCAAAACATGCTGGTTTTTACATAACGGTTGAAAATAGCACAAAGTCTTAAAATAGAGGCTGTAAAATCTTTGTGCAACGTAAAGCAAAGAAAACAAAAATTGAAAGATTTCACAATTTCTTTTCCCTCTTTCTCTTCCTCCTCCACCAACGCTCTTCCCAAGGCTCACTCTTCCGCCCCCTTTTTCTTTCCCACCCTCTTGCGTACAGGCCTGTGATCCATCCTTAACTGTTTCCAGACGTGTGCGTGCAGCCGGCCTTCACCCCCATCCCAAACATAACAACAAACCACCCCTCCACACCCTCACCCGCCTTATCCTCTGGCCTCCTCAGCTGTGTGAAGTTACAAGGTCCTTAGCAGTAATAAGTCATTTCAGTTCATCTGGGATGCTGCATATGCATCCGGGTACAACATGATATCCCAAGCCAGTTCGCCTCTGCCAGATGCGTATGTTGAATGCCCTCATTTTCACTTTGGTTTGCACCAAAACCAATTAATGGCTCAGCATGACCCCAGAATAACTTGGACGTAGCATTGTTGCCAGTTAGCCTGCAGCAGATACGCACACACTGACCGGTTTGTGAGGGTGCAGAATGTTGGCGAACCGGGAACAAAAGGAGACGCACATTGTCGCTCTGTCCTGGTGCAGCGAGGCATCAAATACCTCCAGACTGGCTCAGGAGCCAAGAAAGAAAACAGCTTCATGATGGATCACATACTTTCTTTCATTTCGCCTTAAAGCTTTACAAGAGCAACAGAGTGTTCTCACAAACATGTTGTCACTTAATTTGAGCTAGAGCAGCATATGTCAAGCTGCCATGATTTAAAAGTTGTTTTGTCGCGCTTGTGAAGCTGTGTGTAATCATTAATGTGACAGAAACTGTTTTTTTTTTTTCTGTTACTTTGCTCAATTTGACGGATATTTGTTAAAGATTCTGATTACTTTCCAAAATAGGCCCACTGCTTTTATGAAAACAATCAGCAACTTTAGATAAAATATATTCTTTCAATTATTCAAGAATTAAGTGCAACATTTGATGCAGCCTTGGTGATCCTTCCTCTGAGAAATATAATATTTTCCTTGGAGTTGCCCAGCTTTGCTCTTTTGCTTTGTACTTGTATAGCATATTATTAAATCCAGAGGATCCCAAAACACTTCACACTGCAATCAGTCATTCAGCAATTCTGGAACATGTACAATAACGTAATATAAATACACAAAAGCTTTTGGGGTAAAATGACTGTAAACATGTCAAGTGAACAGTTCGGACATCTAGAACATCTAGAGCTTTTTCCACATGTTGTTCCTCTGTGATAAACAAACAGAAGTTTTAAACTTCTGTTTAGTTTTAAACAAAACTGAAATTTTACCATTCCTACCAAGAGTTGAAAAGACATGCAGTGATGGAAAAAAGTGGATGAGATTACTGGGTAAAGTCTTAGATAATTTGTCTGAGAGTGGCAAAGGAATCACATTTAACCCTAAAATTTTCACCTTAAAAAGCTGTCAGAAACATTTGTTCAATCTAAATTACATGGCATCACTAAATTCAGTTTTTAAAGGCAGCAAATGCAGAAAATCTTAGTGTTAGTGTTCAAGCTCTTGTTTCAAGAAGACACTGTTGGAAGATTTCAGCTTATTCAAAACTGCGTAGTTAAGCTGCTTGACCAAACCAAAAAGAGAAGGCATACGAGTCCAGTTTTAGCTGCTTTTTAACAATTGATACTATGGTATTTTTCAATGTTGCTTTGCATTTTTAGCTTAGGAACTTTATATTTATTCAAGTTGTACAAGCCACTCCATTAATTACTTCAAAAGTTTTTTTTTGTTTTTTTTTTGTTTTTTTTTACTGAGAGTATTTTTGACTTATATTTTGTCAATTTTGTGCTTTAGTTTTGCACATTTTAATTTCATGTACATTTATGTTTTTTCTTGTGTACAATCCTTTGAGCGGCATGAATCATAAAGACTCGCTTTATGACTGCACCATCTTTCTTTTTGCAGAATAGTGGGGTCACGAGGCAGCCACGATGAGGAGGCTGATAGCATCTGTGCTCCACCTGATGGTCACTTTAACAGGTTAGTGTTCAGTTTCACTTGACAAATAAGAATTGAAAATGCATAAGAAGATTCTTCAGATGTTTTTTTTTGTTGTTGTTTTTGTTTTTTTCCAGAAATGATAAATGGGATGTGAAAAACAGAAAATTCTTATTGGTACCCTTTATAAAATTTTCAAATATGCATTATTTATGACAGCAACATGATCTTTCACTAAAATGTTGAAAAAAAAAAACATGTTTTCAGAGATGCCTTTTTTTTTTACCAACTCATCATAAGTGCCCCATTTAATACCTGCAATCTTAGAAGTCTTTTATATAATTTCACAAGACTGGAGCATAAAGAAGAATCTCTGTGCATTCATCTTTGCACAGTTTATCTAGATCCTCCAAAGTCTTGAATTAGTTCATGTACTCTCGTCTCTCCAGACTGTCCCTCGGATGTTCTAGAGTAGAAACAGGCTGACAGGATCACAGAAAGATCCTAGAAAGTCTGATCAGTTTACAAAGCAAAGCATTAACTTATAAAATTTATTCAGTTACATTTACTTTAAGGAAATTATTCAGTGTGCCAAAAAGTAGGGTGAAATTTGTTCATTAGCCTATGACCTTTCCCCCCAATTAATGAAGAACTTAAAGAACTGATAACACTTTAATTCTTCAAGCAAAAGATAAATGATGCTTCTTTCACTTTGTATCCATCGGTCTCTGACACGTCGTCTTCATCCTCCCTCTCAGCTGCTCCAGACCACTCACATCCTTCAACAGCCATAGATGGGACAGGATCTGACTTACATTGTTGATTTAACCTCTGAACTTCTTCTGCTATCTCTTTGACACCCCCTCCTCCCCCCTCTTACATACTGACCTCATGTCTTGTTGCCCAAACTACAGCTTTGGTGCGTTTCTGCCCAGGCGTGTGCAGCCTGGAGATCACCCCGGATGACAAAGAGTTTGTCCTGGCTCGAGGCTCGTCTCTCACCCTAACGTGCTCCGGCTCCAGCCAGGCAAAGTGGGCGCTTAAGAAGGACGATTCAACTTACTACCTGAATCAGCTAGATGAGAACATGAAATCGAGATACAAGATATTTGAACCTGATGCCACGTCGGTTGCTCTGAACCTAACAAGTGTGAGTTGGATGCATACTGCCGTGTATCAGTGCTTTGACGATGTTGCCGACGAGATACAGGAAGTGGCAGTTTTTGTCCCAGGTAGGGTACGCCTCATTTCTCGTTAGTATTAGTACCTCTTGGACTAACTCCGACTGTCGACTTACAAGTCACCTCTTTCTTCAGATCCTGAAGTTTGGTTTGTAAAGAGCATCCACGGCATGGTGACGAAGACCAGTGAGGAAAGCGTCGTCCCCTGTGTGGCTACCAACCCAAACATCACTGTCATCCTGTATGAGAGGGACACAAACAAGCCCATTAAAGGGCATTACGTACCCAGTGAGGGGTACCGGGCGCGGCTGGAGGACAGAGCGTACGTGTGCCGTGGAGAGCTGAACGGGGAGGTCAAAGAGTCTCAGGAGTTTAACGTCATCAGCATTGCAGGTTGGAGTGCAGTTCAAAACGCCACCCACTACCAGACGCCCACTAACACTCGCATTTTATTCAGTCCAAATCGAAAACCAAACTATTGAACTTAAAAGTCAAAGAAGCACTGCGTTTTGGGTCTATATAGTATGTTTTTTGTTTGTTTTTTAGGTAAAAATTCTATATGAACAGTTTTACAAATCATTGATTGAAGATCATACCAACATTACAGCTGTTTTAATAATAATTTTAAAAAAGTGCTGCCATTAATTATGTAGATGAATAGATCAGCCTTTGTAGGTCATTGTGTACTTTTTTTTTAAGATCTTAAGAAACTAAACAGGAGCAGCCATAGATCAAGCACTGCCATAAATCATTAAACGAGAATATTGTGTTAAGATGTTCATTTTAACTGTTTTTTTTTTAATTATTTCTAATTATTAAAGTTTCTTCACCAAATAATTTGGTGACTGAACCAATTTGCCATCATGCCTACTCTGCCCCGCAACCTCTCTTTCCAATCCCAGTGGCCGAGGACATCAACCCTTACATCAACAGTTCAAAGACGGTCCTGAAGCAGGGCGAGCCGCTGACTATAAACTGCACGGTGCACGGAGTGGAGCTGGTGTTTTTCTCTTGGAATATTCCACACACCGCGGTGAGTAGGAGTGGAGCAGAACAAGCGCTTTTGTTCAAATCCCCCTTTGCGATTTCTCTCTGGCCTCATGACCGAGCCCAGATGGAAACAAGCTGTAGCGACACGCCTCAGTTTGGATTCTCTGGTAATATTGCTTTTAAAAACATTCAATGTTGACCAAGTGATCATTTCTTCACACAACATTTTGTTGCATGTTGGGAAGCTCCGTGTTTTCAGTATGTGTTTCAGCTTTACCTAGCAAACCATTGTGTTTAAGGTTGAAGTGATTGTCTCATGCAGATGTGCGACAGATTCCCTTTTGCTGTCATTGCCCACAAAAGACACACACGTTTCAATCATGTTTCTTTTTGGAAAATGCTTTTGCTGATTGTATTTGCACTTGAAAGTTAGATTCTCCAAGTTCCCAGTGAGAATGACAACAAATACCCTTGCTTAAAAAATCAAAGATGCCCCAGATTTAATGTCCAAAATGACTGCTGTGCATACGAAGCAAAGTGAAAGTTGCAGCAACAAACTGCTTACTAGCTTTTATGTTTCCAGTAGAGAACATGATTGCTAAAAAGGCATTAGATGAGAGGAAATGAGAATGAAATGACAGTCGTATTTTGTTTTGTTCCTCCAATTTTAAAGGTTTTTCAGGTTGAGCCAGAAACGTATTTCTCCCCAAAGATGCACTCCTGCCTGACCTTCCCTCGCACCACGATGGGGCACAGCGGAAACTACGTGTGCCACGTCCAAGAAGTGGTCGTGGGCGTCACAGCTTCTGCAAGCGTCAACATCACCGTGCTCGGTTAGAAACACACGCAAAATTCAAACAAACGGATTATTATTGTGCCTCACTCACCACAAAAAGAATAGTTGTTATTATCAACACTGGGAGGTAAAGAAGAGAGACGACCTGTGTGTGAAAGAGGCAAAGAGCGTTTTTATTTATTTTTATGGATTGGACCTGAAATAAACTTTTTGACAAAGTGGGAGATCCTAAGAAACACACCTGCAAATCATAGCACACACCAGCTTTATATAGACTGTTGGTGGAAACGTATTTAACCAGGCACATAAAGTCACCTACTTACAACAGCAGGTTGCAAGCCAGTAAAAACAAGGTTTCTCACGCTGCACAATTTCTTCTAGACTCCGTCTCTTGACCGTCACTGCATACGCTTTGGGTCTATGAATGCTTACTCCAGCTGCAGTGAGGCATGGGGCGTGTACAAAAGCTTTAAATAACTTGAACCTTCAGGTTCGATGGAGACAGAGGTCCAGGACATATTTTAGTTTTAACTGGACACATTAATGGAAAAGAAGACCATGTCCTGACAGCAGCAGTTAGCAATGGACACAGATATTACCAGCTACTGTTTTTAGTAAAGGAAACACAAACAGACCCAAACAGAAATAGACCCAACTTAAAACAGCTGATCTGTTATTTTCATTGGTTTTATTGCTCTGTTGAGATGAAAGACGCCCCATATGGAAGTCTGTTGCTGTCCCTATAGAGTTTTTCTGGTATGTAACACATTATGGTGAGGTGTCTTTGGCCAAAAACACATTTACTTCAGCAGCACTTTAAGCCAAAATAAAATCCAATCAGAACCAAAGGATTCAGCTGGTACACCTTGAATTTGACGAATACTAAAAACAGACTTGAGTGAATGTTGCCCATTAGGTCTCCAAATGAATATTTTCAAACTAGCTCTTGAAAAGTATGTATGTCCTTTGAATTTTACACACACAAGAAAAAACAATAGTTACACAAATGTGTGTAATATTAATAAAATACATTGACGTTTCTAGTTGTAACATGACAAATATGCCCAAATAGTATGAATAGTATCAACTGTGAATAATTTAATAGATAGACTGGCTTTAAAATCGAATTGTTCTTTCCATTTGTCCTGTTAACCAGAAAAGTTTGCACTATTGTTATTTAAATATTTTTTTTCAGTAATACCTGTAAAGTATTTTCAATTTCTTTATTCTTTGAGAGCCACTGACACACACAAAGGCCCAATATTAGCAGGCAGAACTTTGCAAATGTAAAGACTTGCAAATGAGTTTTTCTGAAAGGCAGCAATGTGAGCTTTCTCCAAGTAGGACCTTGGTTCAAATCCCTGTGAGGGCTTTTTTGGGGTGCAATTTGCATGTTATTTTAGGTATGATTAAAATTTGCATTTAGGTGTAAGTATCTGTATGCATAGTTATTTGCCTTATATTGATCCAGTGAACTGGTGACCTGCCATGAGTATGCCTTGCAACCAGTGGAGGCACTACTCTTCAAATGTTTATCCATCAATGGATGAACTGACAAGCAAAATGCCTGATGGCTTTAACAGATTAAATTGATATCTGCAGAATAATTCAGTTATTTACGTTTTTCATACTGTAGATCATTCACCCGCTGACCTGTTTTTCCATCAGAACACGGCTTTGTGGAGGTGAAACCTGCTCAGCGGCAAAACATTTCAGCCAAGCTCCAGGAGAACGTGGAGCTGAGAGTGGACATCGAGGCCTACCCTCCCCCTCAGGTCCGCTGGACCAAAGACGGGACCACCATCAGGGGAGACAAAGCTATCACCATCAGACAGGATCATGAAATAAGGTAGAACATCCACCCTGAGCTTGCAACTGTGCCGTGTTCCTAGAGACACAAATGCAACAAAGCTGCGATACGAGGTGTTTAATATCCTGTTTGATTTAAGCAATCCACACATCTAGCTCCTGTCAGTCAGCACACAGACCTCCTCAGAGAGAAATACAATACTCTCCAGAGGGAGGAACTTCATCTGTCATCACACAGAAACCATAAACACCAAATACCTGTCACAACTCCCTAATGCCTTTCAGACAAATGGCCCACAAGGAGCTGTGCTTTTCCCACTTTACACACTCTCAAATGAAGAAGTAACCTCGGTAATGTGTAAATCATATACTGCATAAAGGATACAAAACAACAATAGTTTTTTTCTCCTCTCAATAATTAATGGAAAAATATTTATTGGCAACACAATGAACAAACCTTTGAGTCTTTGAGGTTGAAAGGATTTCTTGCTCATCCTCCTCATTTGCTCCCTCCATGGATTCTCTTTCAGATTTAAGTCAGGATTCCTTGACTATTCCATAATATAAATATTTTTGTTTTCAGTCAGAAGAAACATGCTGCTAAGACTGCTGATAAGACTGGGTTCAACCTAAATTGTTAAATGTCAACGTAGTGGAGCTGGAATGCAAGCCAACATGAAGTCATGCAGGACAAATTCACTCACACTGCACTTTCAGTGCTATTCGTTAACCAGCGGAGACCAATGATGTGCTTTGAAATCCTCCGTCTTCTTTTCATGCTTGTTTTGCTTCAGGTATGTGACCATTCTCAGCCTGGTGAGGGTGAGGACGGAGCAGAATGGCCTCTATGCGGTCATCATTTCCAATGGAGACGACAAAAAGGAAGTTCTCTTTGACCTGGAAGTCCAAGGTGTGGAGATGCATTTGATGCGTTCTTTTGTTCATTTACTCATGAATGAATCCAACTATTTAAAAAAAGTGTTTTACTGACTTTCTAATGTCTGCTTCAACCTTTTACGTGTAGTCCCTGCTCAGATTAAAGACCTGACCGACCACAATCTCCCGGGGATGAGCGACGTGGTGACCTGCCTCGCTGAAGGGTTTCCAGCTCCGATCATACAGTGGTACAGCTGTGACAGCATGTAAGTATTTACACCACACCTGTAATGTCACGGAACGAACACTAGAGGGCTGACCTTACGCGGCTCACTTTCAGAGCATCTGTTTTGATTTCAGCTCTTTGTTGATGCAGCTGGCGTGATTTCCCTGCTGTCCTGCTTTAGGTGTAGCAACCGGACAGCAGCATGGCAGCCGCTGAAGCCGCATCCGGAGGTGGTGAGCATCCAAACCAATGTCAGCTACAACCAGACGCGTAAAGTCAGCGTGGTGAAGAGCCAGGTGACCTTCCACAAGCCTCAGCAGGTCACAGTTCGCTGCGCGGCCGCCAACCAGGCCGAGCACGTCAGCACGAGGGACGTCAAACTGGTGTCCAGCAGTAGGTGTCCCCGGGAAATGTTTGTTTATTTATTTATTTATAAGTAACTAAATAGTTTGTACATCGTTAAAAAAAATCTGAAATAAAACACAAGACAATAGTTAATCACCGAAATGGCACCCTTGGTACCAACTTTTGTTAAAAGTTACCACTTTTGAATCACAGTGTTTTCTAGGCCGTCTCGAATGTTTCCGGTGCTTCTTTTCTCTTGCAGCGTGGTTCTCCCAGGTGGCAGTGCTGGCTGCTGTTCTGGCCTTAGTGGTCATTGTTATTCTGTCGATAATCATCCTCATCGCTATATGGAGGAAGGTACAAACATGCACGAAGCCACTTATGCCAAAAATAATTATTCCGAGGACACATTTACAAAGAGAATATAGTAGAGATTATAAAAAGATTTGTGAGATTTTCCTCCGTCTTTGACCTTTCTCTCAGAAACCTCGCTATGAAATCAGATGGAAGGTGATAGAGTCTGTGAGCCAGGATGGACATGAGTACATTTATGTGGACCCCATCCATCTGCCCTATGACCTGGCCTGGGAGATGCCCAGAGAGAACCTGGTGCTGGGTGAGTCCTGCCTGCAGCGCTACATCTGCTTAAACACTGACGATGTATGTATGGATTCATTAATTTTAATAATCATTAGACATGACGGTACACTTCACCTAAAAGCCCAAACTGATTGAATTTCACTCATTTATATAAGTTAAGGTAATGCAAGGCATTATAACGGCACGTGCCACAACATGAAAGTTTTTAAAGATGTTCAGCCTTGATGGAGGTGTCATTTACACTTGGTGCTTTTTGAGAGCTAAATGATCTATTAAACGTCTTTGTAAACATGTTTGTTTATTTTAAGGTTTCGGGTCTCAGTAGCTTTCTCTGTTCATTATCTTAGCCAGCAAAAGGCTTGTGATATAAAAACTATATTAGTAACTAGATTCTCCAAACCTTTTTAGGCAGCAATTAAATTATTATTTAAGATTGAATTAGCTCCAAGTGAAGACATCAAATATGTAAAAATGCCCTTTAAAATAATAACTATGAACACCTACAAACAGTCATAGATGATTTATTTTATAATTGAACTATTTTATTAGAAACAGCAATATAATCTAATGAAAGTGTAATATTTCTTCCCAATTTTATTGATGACAGGTTTACTAAAAAAGTTTTAAACTGATTTTTTTGTTTGAAAAATCTGTTGTGCTTATGTTTCCGTCTTCTGTGGTTGCTCTAAACATACTGCTCTTATTCTTCCTGCAGCTCAAAGGAAAACAGACAGCTTAAACTGGAGGTGTCCCTCCAAGGCTTTAGTTATGTTGGTGGTTTGGGTTTTCTCCATGCAGTCAGCTTCAGCATACAAAATGAAGCTTTTGAAACCTGTCTCACTGGCATCGGTCCATCTTCGCTCCTAAGCTGCTTTTTTTATATAGTTTTCTTGTCAGATGTTTTCTCTAAAAGTTAGAAACCGAGGTGCTTAGCCTTCTCACTCAGACATCCACTTACGATGAAAAGTCCTCTTTGATCCAACATAAACACTTTAAAATTCAATTTCCTTTACAAAATTTAAAGAGAGTTACTTATGCTGAAATTATAATGAAGTGGGGGGGGGTTTTGTTAGTTTTTTTGTTTTTCCTTTTGGTCCGATGTGTGCTCCATTCACTCTGCGTCCCACTGAGTCCTTCTTTGTGTTTCAGGTCGCACGCTTGGATCAGGAGCATTTGGCAGGGTGGTCGAGGCAACTGCGTACGGTCTCACGCATTCCCACTCCAGCACAAAGGTGGCAGTGAAAATGCTGAAATGTAAGAAACACAAAGTAATAAAAAGAAAAGAAAAAAAAAAACAGTGCAGAACCATGTGCGTAGTTTGTGTGAGCTACAACAGGAGAGCCCTGTGTGGCTGTCAGATAATGTGACACCAGCTCCGTGTTCCTGTGAGCTCAGAGAGATCCGCGGGCCCGCTGAGCTTTAGTTTTGCTGCCAGCCTCATTTAGGTTTTAGCTCGCAGGTTTTTGAGGCCGTTTGGCAGAAACACAGCGACCCCTTGCTCTCTCTGTGCTAGGTTCTCATATCTCACACTACTGTACTTTTAAACATGTTTTCACTCCTGTTTCCTGTCTGCTCTCATCCAGCCACAGCCAGGAGGAGTGAGACTCAGGCCCTGATGTCCGAGCTGAAGATCATGAGTCACCTGGGACCTCACCTCAACATTGTTAACCTGCTCGGAGCCTGCACCAAACATGGTGACCTTTACTATGACAACTGGTCAAATAGAATTATATTACACTGGCTGTTTTGTAAAGGCTATGCAGGTGTTTGATGAGTATAATAAGCTCTCTTTTTAAGAAAAAGTAGTACCTGTAGCTTTTATCGCTGCTTTTGCAAAAGTAGACATTTTTTATATACTCTTTCAGAAAACTCAATGTGTATTTTTTTATGTACCCAACCAAGAGAAATAAGTGATTGGTAATAATACACGGTTTTCAAGGATTTTTCAACCGTCCTTCTCTCACAAATAGAATTGCACTGTTTGATTTAAATGCAAAACAATAACCCATGAATAAGTAGAGCCCTGCAATTTTCAATTGACTTGAAAGTTGATGCTCACTGCCACTCTGCACACAGTCAGGATTATGCTTGAGCTATTTTGCAAAAAACAGGAAACAAGTAAAGCCTGTAGATGCTTAAAGCTGGTAGAGACAAAGCCCATGAATCTCACCGCTGCTTACTGGCTCTGAGGTTCTTAATGTAAATCCACGCCACACTTTTTAGATTTTAATATTAAAAAAAAAAAATGCCCAGTGTGTATCTTTTCATTTTCACTTCACAGTCACATAAAAACTTTATCTGTCAAATAAAATCACAAATTTAAATTTGTGGTTGCAAAGCTGATGCTTTAATGAAAACTTTTTTCCACAGAACCTGAAAAATACTTGAAACAGAATAATGCAGAATATATTTATGCAACAGTAAAGTAAATGTGGGGGGGGGGGAAACCAATTTTGAAATTTATTGGGTGGAAATTTATGGCTCAAAAATGACAAATTGTCTAGTTTGTGTTCACTGTAACTCCCGAAGCGATCTCTGAGGCAGTGCCATTAAATTTACCCTTTGCAAGAAGTCATAATTTTCTTTTATGCACTTAGTGCAGAACAGAGGTTTGCTGTTGAATCTAATGAGACCAGAAGACGGCTTCTAAGGGCTTCTTAGAACAGCTGGATTGTACAGAATACCATTGGGCGTTGCATTGTTTTTCAGATTCTTATTTGTAGAAAAATGTTAGAAAGATCATCATTTTGCTTCTGCTTTAGAGCTATGCTCGACTTTGTGTTGATTCAAAAGATTTAAGATGTATTTTTTTTTACTAGACACTGCATTACAAGAGCCTTCCGTTGTGTATTGTGTCAACACCTCTTTCTTTCTGCTTCTGCCTCTCAGGCCCTCTCTACCTGGTTACTGAGTACTGTCGCTATGGTGACCTAGTGGACTACCTGCACAGGAACAAGCACACCTTCCTGCAGTACTACGCTGAGAAGAACCAGGACAGCGGCTGCATCATCTCCAGAGGAAGTACCCCTCTCAGCCAGAGAAAAGGGTGAGAGGAGCAGAGAAAATGCATTCAGAGCTGCACAGTCTCCATATTATCCATAAAATTCTGCCGTTGCAAGAGATATAGCTCCACATAGATCGGGGACACTCCCACTCATCTCGTGACGGCGATTGTTACAGATGTTGCATGTGATGGGGGTGGCTGCTAATTGTGTCACTTGACTGGCCTTTTTTTTTTTTTTTTTTTTCCTTCCAGTTATGTGTCCTTCGGAAGTGAGAGCGACGGAGGATACATGGACATGAGCAAAGACGAGCCTTCCTTCTACGTGCCCATGCAGGAGCAGCTGGACACGATTAAATACGCAGACATCCAGCCGTCCCCGTATGAATCCCCCTACCAGCAGGACCTCTACCAGGAACAAGGTGTGACTGCGGCCTGTCCCGTAAATGATTTCATTAAAGCAACTCTGGAGAGTAGTGGGGAGAATTTGTTTTCCAGTTACACAAAAGCATGATGAATTCTGGATCATGAGCACAAAGCAAAAAGAAAAAATTTGACAAACGACCGTGACAGATATGAAGTGGAATTATCCAGTGACTTCCGGTCGCTGCTCATAGTCGAGAAATTTCTTTCTACATCAGACAATGCGGTTTATTTAGGACCAAGCGTACAAAAGATTTAAACAATATAAGAAGCACATGAGCGTCGCATCGTACAATCTCACTGGAGGTCAGCCCGTTATAAAGCCTGAAACGAATCGTCTCCTTTGGTCTCCCATTGATTGTTTCTCCCCGTTTCCTCCTTAAGGTGGGGGCAGAACGGATCTGGTGATCGGCGACTCTCCCACCCTCACCTACGACGATCTCCTGGGCTTCAGTTACCAGGTGGCAAAGGGAATGGACTTCCTGGCCTCAAAGAACGTAGGGTGTTAAACATAATGTTTCAAATTAAATAGTACAAATAAGGCCTGAAACCTGATGAGGTCAGGTTTGATTGAAACACTTTGATGTTTCCACCACAGTGTGTCCATCGTGACCTGGCAGCCAGGAACGTATTGATCTGTGAAGGCAAGCTGGTGAAGATCTGTGACTTCGGCCTGGCCAGGGACATCATGCATGATTCCAACTACATCTCCAAAGGCAGCGTAAGAAGCAAATTAATCATTTAGAGTAAATTTTATTGTTAAAGATCAGTTTTTTACTGGCTAATTATTATTTTTTTTAATTTAGCACCTAATCTGCTGAGTCCCATTTTCTCACTAAGAATATATGGAGACTCATTTGTTGAAACATTTTGTGCTACAGGCTAATATAACAAACACTGACACAAAACATCCAGCAGATTATGCTGGTTTATGCTCTAAAAACTTACAGAAGTTTATTTCTATTCATTCATAATGTCGGTCAAAAACATTTCTTAACTAACAAGACATTTTTGCCTATTCTGTTTGAAACTGCAAACCAAAATAAAACTTCTCTGTTCTGAAATGTCGTACATTAAGCAGGACTGTATAATACTGAGAAAAATGTAAAACGGCAAGCAAAATCTTTCTACCCCTGCTAATTTCATCATGTTTTAAAATGTTCTTTAATTTCTGAAAGTGTGTTTGTGTGCTTTTTGATTTTTTTTTTCTTCTCTCTTCTCATTTAGCCTTTCCTGCCCCTGAAGTGGATGGCACCAGAAAGCATTTTTCACAATTTGTACACCACCTTGAGTGACGTTTGGTCATATGGCATTCTTCTTTGGGAAATTTTCACTCTGGGTCAGTATGACTTTTGTATAACTCTGCACACTCAGAATGTGCAAAAGCGAAAAAAGTTCTGTAACCACGTTTTTAGTTTTACCTGTCAGAGTTCTGGTCAGATCCAGAATTCTCCTGCTCCATTAAAACTGAGGCAAATCTCAAACCCTGCTTCCGACTGTATGGACACAACTGTCTGTTTGAAAACTCGTATCGGGTCAAAATCTTATTAGTCTCAGTCAAGCGTTGAAGTCAGCATTTCCTCGCTCAGGGTATTGTCAGTTTTGTTTAGTTTTACTTCTTTTTTTTTTTTCTTTTTTTTTTTTTAAACAATCTTCCCATGAAGTTTTTAGGCCACCGTGAATACAAAGGAGACAGTTTGCTTGGTAAAAACATGCTCACAATCCGGCTTCTGTAAGTGCAAAAGAAAGATCCTCTGTGCTTTCATGTCTCTATTTGGCTGCACTTTTGTGATCTGTTGTTGGCCAGGCATCTGTTCCAGAAATTCAATTTTGTTTTATAAAAATATGACTCGCATTTTAATTCTTTAAATCTGTCTTTTTTTTGGGTGGTTATCTTCAACTGTCCCTGCAGGAGGAACTCCTTACCCTGATTTGCCCATGAATGAAATCTTCTACAGTGCTTTGAAGAGAGGCTACAGGATGGCCAAGCCTGCTCACGCCTCTGACGACGTGTGAGTTGCGTTAACGCTGTTCCTCCCAAAATTCCTCTTCTTCCTGACTTGAACCTTTTTTCATGTGGGTTATGTTGCAGGTATGAGATCATGAAGAAGTGCTGGGATGAGAAATTTGAGAAGAGGCCCGAGTTCTCCCTCCTGGTGCACAATGTGGGAAACATGCTGACGGACAGCTACAAAAAGGTACATAACTTGTACTGGATTTTACTTCTTAAACAGTAGAGCAGGAGTGGTCAAGTCCAATCCTGGAGGCCTACTGTCCTGCAACTTTTAGATGGATCCCTGCTGCTGCACACCTGCATTAAGCAAATGGCTTGTATTAGGCCTCTGCAGAGCTAAGAAATGCTGATGAGGGAGTTCTGCCATTTGATTCAGGTGTTTGATTATATGCCAGTTAGTGGCATGCATAGCTTACAAGTGTGGCACTTGAAATATAATCTCCTGCCAAATACGGCTTTCAAACAGTCCCTTTCACATGATGATGATTGTGATTCGATATATTTTGCAGTTCTATTGCAGACCTTAACAGGATTTTACAACTGGTCATGAGGCGTGACACAGAGAGCAAATAGAACCTGCTGGTTTATTTTCTAAGCCAGTTGTTTTTTTATAAATTGCAGAAGAAGCAGGTAGAAAAGAAAACACAACGCAGTGCCAGGCAGAGAACTAAAACCTGTGCAAACACTTTACAGGCATAAGATGCATGTATGCATGTTTTTCTGTAAAGGAAGTCGGTGTTTATCTGCAAACTAATAAATCCTACAAAGGGAATTAACTTTACATACCAGAGAATTAAACCATGATTAACACCTGATAGGAAGAAAACAAGGTTAACTGAAGAGAAACTGTCATGGACTGTGGAGTCATTTTGAGTGATGGAATCAAATGGATCTCATAACGGAGAATGCATGAAGAACATGAGCCTCTTTCCAACGTTTAAGTCATTTCTTTTTAACTTCTTATCTTGTCAACAGATTGTTTCAAGGAAAAGATGGACTCTAAATGACAGCCAGAAAACTGCTAGGATTTCTGCAGTTTATTTATAGAAATAAAAAAAAAAGGCATTTCCATAACGAAACCTTGTCCTGTGAAGCTGTTCTGTTAACTCTTGGTGTGCTAATGTATTGTTTTTTTTTCACTAGTACCTCCAGACCGTAAAGCAGCATAGCAGCATTCATAAACGTATGAAGGAAACTCATAAAATAAAACTGGATAGCTGGAAAGCTTTAGTGTTGTTAAAACATCTCAGTGTTGGTCGAATGTTGAAGCTCCCGGTTTGCATCTGTATTCAGAAGATAAATACATGAGAAATCTGAGGAGTGTTTTTCTGGACACAAAATAACCCAAAGTACTCGAATGCTAAATGAAACATAAGAAAAATATTTAGGAGTCCCTAACAAATGCAACTTGTGACAAGTTGGTAACACTGCAAGAATTACGTCATTTCAAAACGACACCTTACATCAGATTGGTTTCCAAAAGAGTCAAATATCGACTTCATGTTGTATATCTTTGTTTATGTGCACCAACCTCCTATTCATGCCACATTCGGCTGACTGACAACCTTTCCCCCCATTTTCAAACAGAGATACAACCAAGTGAATGAAAACTTCCTCAAGAGCGACCACCCTGCCGTGGCTCGCACCAAACCTCGCCTCTCCTCTCCATTTCCAATCGCCAACCCGGCCTTTGGCTCTCCCTCTCCAATCACTCAGTCCTTCCCGGGACGCCGCAGCCAGAGCCCGAGGCCTGGAGACGGCAGGCGAGAGGCGGACGCACAGGAAGTCATCCCTTCGTACAACGAGTACATCATTCCTCTCCCAGACCTAAAGCCCGACGAAGTTTTCACCGAAGTGCCGTCGGAAAGCCCTGCAAGGTAACGGACCCCTCCTGCAGGAATCGAGCAGATCCAAAGAGAAATGACTTGTGTGTTATGTTCTTTTTTTCCACCACACACCCACTCATCCAGATGTTGAGCTCAGACAGTCGTCGTATTATGTAGGTGGATTCAGAGATGTGTTTTTATAGCTTATACAAACACGGAGCCAAGCAGCGGCTTTGTATGGCAAATTTTTAGCCACATGAATTTACAGTAGTTTGTAATTTCCCGTTTTAAATAGCCGTTTGTCATGTTTCATTATGAATTTAAATAGGCACACTTAAACAGAGCTATTCAAACAAAGATGTAGGTCTGAATGTGTTTTCATTTTTTGATTATTTGAAATTTCTTTTTGCTTATGAAAAAGCTCTTGAGGTCTGCCTTTGGTTTCAGGCTGTTGGGCCCCTCACGAAAATAAATCAGAAAAATGTTTGGTCAAGAGTCCCATTTATTTGCCGAATCACTTTGATCCGGCAGAATAAAGTCAAAGTTTAGACATAAAACATCCACATATTATATAAAAGGCTCAGCTTATTATTATTATTATTATTATTATTATTAACAAATATTTGTACTTGCTCCATAAGGGAAAATGTGCAAACAAGACAAATATTTGTAACTAGAAATTGTGTTTACAGCATATAATGTACATAAAGCTTACTGTTTAAAAGAGGAAGTAAAAAGATCAACCAAAGACAAGTTTCTGTTCTTTCTGAGCTAAGTTAAAATAATTATTGCAGTACAAAACTGTATATTTCTGTAAAATTTAAATGAGTTTTTTTTTTTTTTTTTTTTTCTCCACTCTCAGCTCTCTGGCTGTGGAGGAGGAGGCCGACTCCACATCTCAGGACATGACTGAAACTCTTCCAGAGGAAGACCGGGTGGAGAACACGAGCGAGAGGGACGCACTGCTGGGCTCCATGGGGACGCCTGAGGTAGAAGACAGCTTCCTGTAGCGCTGCGTGGGAAGGCGGAGGAAACCGAGCCCCTTTCTGTAGACTGAGAAGAAACCCGACTAAAACTGAAATGTAGCAAAAACTGAGACTGAGAAACAATCTGTAGTTTTACTGAGCTCTGGAAAACTGCTTCCTTGTTTGAGAGTTTCCGTTTTCTGTCTAAAGTTACAAATGAAATAATGAAAATGGTACAAAGTTTCTCACTCTTCTGGGAGCTTGCCAGGAGAAGAATAAGGTCACATTCCTACACAATCAGTTTAACCAAAGTAGTGTTGGTGTTCACTGTAGCTGCCAGTTCTGTCAGACACTTATAAAGCCTTAGGCGGCTCAGATTGTGCATTATTATTGTGGTAACACTAACTGTTTGTCTTTTTGACTCTCTTATCTGAGCATATGTGATTTCTTCTTTTTTTTTTTTTTTTTTGAGAAGCGGGTTTTATATTATTAGCTTTCACAGAGAAAAGTAATGAGGACCAACCTAAAACACTATTGTCTCACAATAGTGATTAACACTAATTTGAAAACATGATATAGTCACTTTATTATTAATTTTCACTTTTATTTTTAACTTTTTCTTGCATTTGGTACTATTAAGCAACCTTAGTCATGGTAGTATGTTTATAAAGTTTCATTTCAAGAATCAGAAATGCAGAAACGTTGGTGCACTGTTTGAAAATATGTTTTTTTTTTTTTTTCCTTTTAGTGGTATTCAATGTATTTTTGTGCCTGAGTTTTTATTAACATCCGATGTTTTGTTTTTCATCGTTATAGGCTTATGTCATAGTTTTGTATCAGGTTGCACTTTATTTAGAGAAAATGAGGATATTTGCATTAAAGTTATGTTGCTGAGTGAATGTTAGAAAGCTACAACATAGAGCCACTACAGCATAAATCTGGGACTATGAGATTGATTTGAATCAAATCTAATATCTGTGAAAGCACAGGAAATTCTCAAACAGCATATCACTGCCTTGGCACAAGATGGCCTGCATGAGTGCCTTTTTATTGACAGACCTTTTTTTTTATTTCCACAGCTGTTACATAAGGGTTGCTTTAATGTACAGTGCATAAATTCTTGTTAATGTCAAATTGATAAATCATTTCAGTACATTTTCCACCTTTAATGTGAGAAATACTCTGGATGGATTATTTAACCAAAAGACAAACAAATCCATTAATTGAAACAGAAAAAAAAAAAGATTTTAAAGAAATTGCAATAACCTGGTTGCACACATTTGTACACACCTGGAAAATAAACTTCAGCACTCACTCAGCCTCTATTAAAGCTTTTAGCCACTTTCTGTGTTACAACTAATCTGATCTTAACTAACTTATTTTTAAGTTGGGTAAAAAAATATTGAACAGTACAATGCACCAATAATTCAAGATAAAATGGAATTAAGTTTTTTAGCATGTGTCAGAATCCCAAAAAGACTCGCTGTGCCAGAAGAAATCAAATATCTGGAATGATCTATCAAGAGTTCACAGCTAAAATTAAGAGATTTTAATCTGAAAGAGGGGAAATATTAAATTCCCAGTATGTAATAATGGCAACACAAGACTGTGTCGGAATTAAATTAAAAGATGCTTGACCAAGTTGATGCTTAATAGTGTGTACATCTATGCAACCAGGTTATCACTTCAATTTTATTTTGTTGGGGGTTTTTTGGTGAAATTAAGGAGAACTTGTCACATTAAAGGTGAAAAAAAAATATTTATCATGATTACCTTTTTCATGTGTCGTAAAAGCATCACATTCAACAGGGATGGGTGGGCTTTTTTTTTTTTTTTTTTTATCCACCGTACCATGAAAGCCTAATGTGCACAAATAAACATAATGCTTTCTGTTGCTTTGGGTGACTTTTGCTACATAGTGCATTTTATCTCTGTACTTAGCATATCCATTTAAAGAACACATCTTTATTTCTTGACCGTTTAAAAGCACACAATCACTATGTCACAAGCTATGGTACCAAAGCTCTTGTTAACTTTTACAAATGTATTTTTATATGTTTTTTTTTTTTTGTATGCTGTAAATGTGTCAATAAATCAATGATATCACAATATTTAAACATTTTGGAATCTTCTTTTACTTATTTTGTAGTATATCTAGATACTATTAGTATATCTAGTATACTAACCTCACATAAAAATGAGTATTTTATGTGAAACAAAATACTCAACAGAGCAAATGTATTTTCACAGAAGAGTGAGGCTTTGCTGTCTTTCTAATAGACCTTTAGTTACATGAAGCTGCGTCCCCTCAGGAATGAAACCACTGTCGAAACTATGGATTTCATGTACAATATCACTTTATTTTGCATTGAAAGTACCCCAGGCCCATACTCCCAAAGAAGCTCTCATAAAATGTCTTAGGGTTGAAGGTTGTGCTCTTTCTCCAGATCCTTAAAACACACGTAGACCAGAGAAGCGGACTCCTGTGACGCCCTCAGTAATGCTGTAAGGATAAATATTTGGTCAATTCAGACAACTTTTGACAATTATCATTGTAGTATCTGATCTAATTTGAAGCAGTTTTTAATTACTTGGACTTCTTATCCTATGGACATCCTATTTTTTTTCTCTTTTTAAAACCTATGAATATTTTTTGAAGTGCTGCTGAACGACGTTTGGGATCTTCTTTGCAGATCCATTTTCCAGTGACTGTGGACAAAAACGACATCGTTGCCTGTCACAACCACAGCTACAGAACCTATTGTTGGACACCAGCGATGATGGAAGGACTGAGGACTAAATAAACTTTTAGTTTTTGCGGACTCATGAAGCAATGCACAGGTATTTGATGGAGAGGAAGACCTCACTTTTCCCTTTTGCTGAGGCAACACAAGTGTAAAAGGAATTTGGAAAGGCAACTGAGAAGGACTTTTTGTTGGCCCTGAGCGAGACCTAGTGCACTTTTTTTATGACTCAGCCTGGAGTTGGTATGAAGTGGGAAAATTGCAGGTGATGGTCAAAATTCTCCCCAGGAAGGAAGCAGAAAGAGTACAGAAAGAGGGGTTGAAGGCTCTGGATGAAGAGGCGAGTCAGCCATGACTGCACTAACTATAGAATGTTTGGCATTCTTGGATGTCTATTTGACAACCAAGAATGGTTGGAATGGTTAGATTGGACTGACTGGATTAGTCAGTCCAATCTAATCCAGATTAGATTGGACTAAATCCAACTATAAGATTCCATTGTGCTGGACACATTTGATTAATTTAACTACAGTTTGGACTTGAATTTGATTCAAGTTGAATATAGCCTACTGTAGATTCAACTTGCATTGCGAAGGAAGTTGTTGTGAATTAGCATCACGTAAATTTCATTGAACAGGATTTTCTACAGGATCACCTTTTTATTTTTTTTATTTCTAAATGTTTTAAGAGTCTGCAATCTGACCCAATCATATCTGCCCATTTGCTGCCAGGCAAAACAGCCCTATGGCCACCGGTTAGCACTGACACAGATGAAAAGTCCCACCTCTCCTTTACTGGGACTCTCTCTGTCAAATTTGAAATGCCTCATTAATTTGTCAAGCATGATAAGTTGAACCGCCTTCTCCTTGACACATGCACAAGTTCCCTCCACCCTCCAGCCCTCACTCACTGATGATTGCTGTGTGACTGTAAACAAGCAGAAAGGAGGAATAAGGGCACAGACAAAGGAAGAGGGAGGAAGGAACTCGCATGCCCGTGCTTGGATGCTGGAAACTTCCAAAAATCCAGGGAAGTTATTCCATCCCTCCTTCAAGCTGAAGAAGAGGTGAGAATATTTCACATAAGCTAACATTCAATAATGTCAAATGTAGCTTTTTCAATTTGCTAAGTTATAAAATGCTTTCTTACCAACAAAGCTTCTCTGAGTGGCTAGAAAAGAGAAGTAAAAGAAGGGATGCAGCGTTAACCTAACTTCCTAGACAGTTTTCTGATTTCTTCATCTTTCTCTTTCCCATAAGTCAAATGTGGACTATTTAGCAGCCGGTGTTTTAACCAGCAGGTCTGGAGTTCATCCATGATGCAGTCCCACCTCACGCTGTTGCTGGTGCTTGTGGCCTCTGCATCTTCAGGTAAGACGGGACAAACGCTGCCAAGATAAATCTATTTGACAACATTTTTTGCTGTCCTATTTCTGTTCCTGTCTGCTGAAGCTTTGTTGTGTATTCCACAATTTAAATTGGCGGTACTCGTTTGATACTGTAGATTAGTGCATAAAGCTGTAAACCAGTTAGTCAAATCCAGATTGAACATGTTCATTTGCTCCACAACTTTATAAAATGCAAAATGACAGACTTTTCTTTGAGAACCGTTTTTTGTATTTTTCTTTGCATTCGCTCGTGGTTTGTAGAAATTGTACACAATACTGTGTCTAACGAGCAGAACAATTGACAAGAAAATCATGAGTTGTTTGTGGGGCCATTCTTGAGATTGTTTCTCTTTTTTCCCCCTGCTGCATTTCAACACAGCTTTGACTGTGATAAATGGTTATCACCCACTAGCTATTATTTTGCAGTTTAAAGTATTTAAATTTGAACATGTGAAATCCTCTAATTTTGGTCAGATTGGGAGCTGAACGGATTAACTCTGCTTGCTCTTGGATCACTTCGTGAGATCTAATTGGGGTTATTTTCAGCTTGGATGAAAAGTTCACTCACTTAGAGAAAAGGGATGGAGAGGCAGCTGTTTACAGACACGCAAATTAAGCGCAGAACTGCTGATTGCCATGAAACAACATTTGAATCCCAGTTACTGTGAGAAATATTGCGGTGAATAGAGAAATGCTGAACGTGGAATCTCAGTTCTCCTTCGAGATTCATAACGCAGCGTTCTAAAGGGAAACTTTTGCCACCATACTGAAAGTACGGACACTGAAAAAAAAAATCCAGAATAGAAGTGACTTAGTCTTTCTAAAATGAGCCCTCTTTAGATTCATAATCATCAACAAACTCCTTAATATTGAAGTACAAGACATGATTGTTCTTAAAGACAGAAACAATTCATTCAGCATGGTCTCTTTTAACACTTACTGGCTCACAATTATCTAAATGTAGCTGTTAGGCTTTCGTTAAATGTATCAATCCCTTAAATGTGCTTCTTGTGTCCTTTGCTTGTTGAATAGGTATTTATATATATTTATTGGTTCCCAGACTATGGAAAACAGAAGTGAGGATTTTGCAGAAAGGAGGTTGAAATTCTAAAATAACTCTGACTCACCAATCTGACAAGAGAATGAACAAACTAAAAAAAATAATAATAATAATAAAAAAAAAGGTACTAAAGCTTGATTGATCTAAAGAAAAATGTGTTATCTTGCTGCAACAGAGGAATGGAAGCCGATAATCAAAGTCAATTCCAAGGTGGTGACGGGCCCCGAGGTGGTGGTTAGGGCCGGGAGGCCTTTGGATCTGAGGTGTGAAGGCGGCGGACCTGTGAACTGGCAACCCAGGCTGGCCAAACACAGGCGTTATGTATCCAGGGGCAACGGGAACGTCCGCGTCTTCAAGGTGGAACGCTCCACGGCAGAATTCACTGGAACGTACAAGTGCTTCTACACTGCTAAACCCAGTTTCAATAATCTGACCTCCTCACTGCATGTGTATGTGAAAGGTGAGTGAGATCAGCTGAGAATCGTTGTGTGACTGTGTCACAGTAGTTATTAAGGCTGACCACGTCCATTTTCATCCCCATTTCAGACCCACAGCGAGTGTTTTGGACAAGCAGCACATCTCTGCGTGTGGTGAGAAAGGAGGGTGATAACTTCCTACTGCCCTGCCTGCTAACAGACCCCTCAGCCACCGATCTGGGCCTCCGCATGGACAACGGCACCACTGTGCCACCTGGAATGAACTTCACCGTGGACAGGCACCGTGGCATCCTCATCCACAGCCTCCACCCGAGCTTCAACGCTGACTACGTCTGCACCGCCACGGTCAATGGAGTGGAAAGAACCTCCAAGGCGTTTTCCATCAACGTCATTCAGAGTGAGATCACTTGGCCGATTGACTAAAACCTTCTAAATGTCAAGCACTCACAAATGTATTATTATTATTTATTTTATTTTTTTCTTTCGCTGTAGAGCTTCGCTTCCCTCCGTATGTCTTCTTGGAGACAGATGAATATATACGGATAGTTGGGGAAGAAATTAAGATTCGCTGCACAACACACAATCCAAACTTTAACTACAACGTCACATGGAAATACACCACCAAATCGGTCAGTGGGAGGCGTCCTTGAAGTCTCGTCTGAAGCATTCGTCTGGATCTCGGCTCAGATTTGTGCTTCTCGTTTTAGAAGCCAAGAATAGAAGAGACCGTTCGCTCAAATGGAGAAAATCGTCTAGACATCCAGAGCATCCTGACAATCTCTGCCGTGGACCTTGCAGACACTGGAAACATCTCCTGCATCGGAACTAACGAAGCCGGAGTGAACAGTACAACTACGTACCTGCTGGTTGTGGGTAAGAAACAAAACAGCTTCATCTCCTGTGTTTCACCTTTATCATGCACAAAAGTTGCTGATTTTCTGAACTTTCTTTTTTCTTTTCAGATAAGCCCTACATCAGGCTGCTGCCCCAGCTCTCACCAACACTGACCCTCAAGGGTCTCTCTGTTGTGGTGAAAGAGGGAGAAGACCTGGAGCTCAGCTTACTCATTGAAGCCTACCCTCATATAACCGAGCAAGGATGGCTGACTCCGACACCGCCCAACACATCCACACAGGAGCACAAGTTCATCCGATACAACAACAGGTGCAAAGCCTGGAGATATAAAAAATAAATAAATAAAAAAAGCTTTGTCCAACTGCTAGACAGAACAAGCAGAAGAGGAAATTGTTCTGAAATGCTGTCGGTGCATTTTGTGTAAATTTGACCAGGAACATGAAGGTCATCATATCTCCACTCAGGTCAAAAAAACTGCTAAAGGGAAGAACAAAGTTCTGTTTTTTTAAATGTGGACTTACGAAGGAGTGATACATAGAAACTGTCTGAATACAAACCGCAGAATTAGTCACTTCTTCTTACTCCAAAAATGTTTCTGTTTTTCAGTTAAAATATCCTTTTTGTTGTTGTTTTGTTTTCGTTCTGTGTTAGATACGTCGCAACTCTGCAGTTGAAGAGGATGAACATACAGGAGCAAGGACAATACACTTTCTACGCAAAGAGTGACTTGACCAACGCATCCATCTCATTTCAAGTCCAAATGTATCGTAAGTGACACAAATTAAAGTAAACTCAGTTTTTTTTTTTATTATTGTAAAAATATGTCCTTGAGTGCCTGATAGATCTTAAAGTTACCGAACCCTGCAAGTGACGCTGGATGATTTTGATTTAAAAAATGAAGCCTAGACGTAAATTCAACCTGTGAGACTATTCTCCTTAACCGGCGTCATCTATCACCACGCCTTCGCTGCAGCCAACCAGGACGCTCCGCTGCTCCGCTTCAGTCTAATCATCCAGCAAAAGCTCCTTTAAAAGGCGAAGCAGCCACAGGTCCACCCGCTTCAGCTGTGCTTCAAGATGTCTTTAGTCGTGCTTCAACCCACCTCCTCCCCATCTCCACCATCAGCCTCCTGGAAACCTCGGGTCCTATCAAGACTCCCCTCCAAGCTCCACCACCAGTGACCAGGCCCGGGGAAGACTTACCTGAACTTTACTCGAGCCGATCACTTAAGCTCTCACAGCGAGTCTCAGCTTGCACGTGTTATGCCGGTGTCCGAGCGTCAAATTCTCGGTCTAATAAAATAGTTTAACTGCTGTTTCTCTCGCCCTCTGAGTCTCTACAGATTGAAATACATTCAGGAGATTCTGCAAAGGTTTTAAAGACCTCAAAGGATTTGTGAGGTCCAATAAAAATGTCTAAAATAGCATAACAGCAGCCAAGGGCAGCAATACCACTGGTAGGTGTAGACAGTGGAGCTCGCAAAGACTTTATGCAAATGACAAGAAATATAAATAAATGTCGATAGATGTGTTGTATTTCATGTCAGAATGATGTGGAGATCTCAGATAAGCCGAAATCCTACAAGAATTTGTGGAATATCACAAAATGTCTGGAGGATCTTAAGAAAAATAGTTAAGGATTTGATTTTGTACAAATATTTTGTGAGATCTCACACTCAGGATCTTCCATCCTCCAACTGTCTATTCACAATTTTCCTTGCAGGCTAGTCCATTACAGGAAAACATATTGACCGGATGGACAAAAAAAAAAAAAAAAGAAAAAAGAAATGCATGTGCACACTCAGTCCTGAGGGCAGTTTCAGAGAGACCAATTAACCTCACAGTAATGTTTTTTGATCATGGGATAAGACTTGTGTCCTCTGAGAGAATCCACCCATGCATGGAGAGAACAATCAAAGGCAAAGCCAGGACTTGAACCCATGACACTTTGCTGCAAGGCAAAAGTGCCAACCAATGCACCAAAGTGAAATGCCATGACCATAACTTTTTTATTGTATCCATTGTCACCCAAGGGATCGCTTTAAAGCCAATGTGTAAAACTGCAGTGTTTTTTTTTCTCTTTTATATATATATGCCAGAGAGACCTAATGCAGTCGTCAGATGGGAAAATGTAACTACTCTGGCTTGTACCTCGTTTGGCTATCCGGCTCCGAGGATCATCTGGTATCAGTGTCTGGGGATACGACCCACGTGAGTGCAACCTGACTGCGACGACTAATAAGTTGTCACTAAGTTTATCCTAACATTACACATTAAAATTCTTAATGTTTCACTGTGGCTTAGGTGTAATGAAAATACGTCAGGGTTGCAGCTGGCCATCCCTCTCCAGGCTCCCACTGTGGAAGTCCAGAGGGAAGAGTACGGGGCTGTGGAGGTGGAGAGCGTCCTCACGGTTGGACCGTCCAGCCAGAGGATGACGGTGGAGTGCGTAGCCTTCAACCTCATTGGTGTGAGCAGAGACACACTCGCCATGGAGGTGTCTGGTGAGGATGTGACTTTTCTTCTAGATCTCACAGATTGCAATCGCGGTTTCTCATTTTGATTGTTTGTTCTCTAATCGGACAGACAAGCTCTTCACTACAACCCTGAGCGGAGCTGCAGGAATTCTAGCAATCCTCCTGGTGCTGCTGGCCATTCTGCTTTACAAATACAAGCAGGTATACTGAAAGCGCCACATGGCGACTGGTTTTCATCCTGAATTATGGACTGTGGGAAAGTTTACAGATTTAGTTGAACCAAAGAGGTGTTTTCTGACTTTAATTTGCAGAAACCCCGCTACGAAATCCGTTGGAAAATCATAGAAGCGAGGGATGGCAACAATTACACTTTCATCGACCCCACACAGCTGCCATACAACGAGAAGTGGGAGTTCCCAAGAGACAAGCTAAAACTAGGTTACCTAAGTGCCCATTTTTATTTGAACGCGTAATTATAAATGTTTATTTTTGATTAGATTTAACTCAATTCACTTGAAATAAGTGTACTGATAAAGCAACAAGTTGGAACAAGTGTCATCATGAGGCACTACAAAAAAGCAGCTCAGCTGATTACACTGAGTCATTCACTTGAGTAAACGTGGTGACAGTAGGGAGGAATGACTCCCTTTTAACAAGACCTTTCAGACTTGGAATAAATAATCATCTGAAACACCCAGCCTAGCCATAGCAATAGGATATCTAAAAATAAAGATAGTCATTGGAGTAGAAAATAAAAATTAATGCTGTAAAACCATGAATAACAGAGCAAAGTGGATTAGAAATGATCCGTCTTGTGTTCTTTGTCGCTTAACAGGAAAGATTTTGGGTGCGGGTGCATTTGGAAAAGTTGTGGAAGCAACAGCTTACGGTTTGGGGAAGGAGGACAATGTCATGCGCGTGGCTGTGAAAATGTTAAAAGGTTAGATCTGCTAATATCTCAGAGACACAGTATTTTACTCCAAGTAAACCTCTGTAAAGATTAAATACCACTATTTTTTTTTTTTTTATGGTCCATACTGTTTATCTGCAGCCAGTGCCCATTCAGATGAGAGGGAGGCTCTAATGTCTGAACTGAAGATCCTAAGTCACCTGGGGCATCACAAACACATAGTCAATCTGCTTGGGGCCTGCACTTATGGAGGTCAGATGGCACAAAAAAAAAATGCTTATGAAACTTTGTTGACTCCATGGAAAATCAAGTGTTACAAAGTAAATTGCATGAAAACACTTTTAAACTGTGTTTCCTCTCCAGGACCAGTGCTTGTGATCACTGAGTACTGCAGCCTCGGTGACCTGCTGAACTTCCTTCGCCAGAAAGCAGAGACTTTTGTGAACTTCGTCATTAACATTCCCGAGATCGGCGAGAGCTCGAACGATTACAAAAACATTTGCATTCAGAAGCAGTTCATCAGAAGGTTCGTCACCAAACATGGGACCTAATAGCGTAGGACGAATTCAAAGAAAAACCCACTTATCGTGACGATTGATTCACAGTGACAGCGGGATCTCCAGCTTCGCCTCAAGCAGCTACTTGGAGATGAGACCCACTCAGCTGCCAAATACAGAACAATCTCGAGGTACAAGCGGCTCCAGAGATTGTATCCAAACAATAGCATAGAGAGAACAACTCACTGAACACCACCTTTCTCTGATTCTCGTTCAGAGTCGGACTGCGAGGAGACTGGCGACTGGCCACTGGACATTGACGACCTGCTGAGATTCTCCCTTCAAGTCGCGCAGGGCCTTGACTTTCTCGCTGCTAAAAATGTAAGAACATAGAAAATTTCTGAGACACTTCTGTAAAATATAAATAGGAGCAGCTCCGTTTCCATTCCTGGACAGGGTTACAGACACTGATGACAGTTCCACTGTAATCAGTGGAACTGTAAGAGGAAGCCTGTGAAATCATTTGCTGGGTGCTAAGAGTGGGAATTTCCCTCTTTGCATTTTTTATATCCATTTGCTGGTAATAGTTTGAAGCCTTTCATCATGCAGTTGCTGCTATATTAAGGAAACACTAAACCGATTGCTTTTTATGTTGCAAGACGTTATAACAAGACACAAACTGTGTGGCTTTGTATTTCTTCAGTGTATCCACAGAGACGTTGCTGCAAGGAACGTCCTCCTGACCAGCCGCAGAGAGGCAAAGATTTGTGACTTTGGTTTGGCCCGAGACATCATGAATGACTCCAACTATGTTGTGAAGGGAAATGTAAGTGCTTGAGTGGATGAATGCTGACTCTGACTAACCATAACCCTACCTAACCTTGTCCCAGGCAGCGAGAGTCTCACATTATAATGTTAAGCAAAAACGCCAAAGTCCGATGGTGTCACACCTTTCATCAAAATGCTCAACAAAAATGTGTTGCATCAGTCATGTTGCCTAACACATTTATCCGGTTTTATTTTCATTTCAACACATCGAATCAAGAATGATTTTTGAGTATTTCCTGTCGGCATACTAGACTTCATAGAGTTGATTTTGCAGTCCACTGCTTAGCAGACATGCCAGTCTTGGCTAAATGTTAGTTTTCATAAGAATACTGTTTAATTTTTTTATTTTTTTTTAAATACCTGATTTATTTCAGGACAGACAAAAACAATAGAAAGTACTTTCATTCCAGGCAGCTTACCAGCAGAGTGAAGCAACTTGTAAAGAGTTCCTGAAAGACTTATAGTAAAAAAAAAATTATCATATAAAATAACTGAGTAAATTTTATAAACTTGAGTTAAAAAAAAACTACAATTATGAGTAAATGAGGCCAACCTTTCCTGGAAACATTAGTTGAGATGTACTAAACATTTATAAAAATGTAATTTATAATAACTTGCAGGCTAAAGAAATTGTTGAAATAAGCTAATCTTAATTTTATCAAAAATCTTAGAGATGTTTATTTAATATCTGGCTTTCAAAAAAGTTCTGTAGTGATCATTAATTATGACTAAAGTCGGATTAGCTCTTTTGAATAAGATCAAGTAACTTACTATTTTTAGATTGGGTCAAAAAAAAAAAACTTCACTATAATCTTGAGTTCCTAAGTAAATTGCGCAAACTGAAATGTTAACAGATGTTTTAGCATTTAACGTGTATTTAATTATATCAGTAGACATTTATTATAAGCATAAGTGACTCAAAACCTTTTCTGTCTTACTAACATTAAATCAGACTAAACATCTCCCGTGTATTGATGCTGTGGTGGTGCAGGAACCTTAGTTCTCGATCAGACATGAGATTTGCCGTATGTCTTCTCCTCTCTCTCATTGCCCACTTCCTGTATGACCGCTTTAAAATAAAGGCCACTGGAACCAATATAGCCTCATAAAAGATCCCGTTAATGGTCATTCAGGATTACCAAACTATTTCTAAACAAGAAAAAAAAATCAGATTTTTTTTTTTTTTTTACTTTTATTCTCAGAAGTTACCGAACATTTCCTTAGTGTTCAATAACTTTTAAAGTGTATGACTTGAGTCAGATGTTTTGCATGTTAGTTGACACGTTTCTTACGGTAGCTTTCTAGAAATGTGGCCCATTCCTTCTGACAGAACTGATGGAACAGAGTCAGATCTTTGACTTTGTTCATGTTTGTCATCATACACAAACATGTCTATGATGCCTGTTTTTAAGTTTCATCACATTATATGCATCTAAATATTGAAGTGTTTAATGACTGTCTTCTAGCGGTCTGTGTGGCTTTTGGAGTAATGCCTTTTTTGTCAATGAGTGGCTTTTCTTCCCATGTGGATATTGACATTGCCTTCAGCCAGCATCTTCAAAGTGGCTTTTGATTTGTGATTGATATTTACATTTCACTCTAAAACATGTTCATCTCTAGGACTCAGAATTTGTCTCCTTCCAGAATAGTTATAAGGGCTTGACATCCTCATGCTGTTTTAAAGTTTGAAAATTAATCCGAAACTTACAAAGTCACTACATTATTACACCAATCTTTGTGAACGGCAGTATTGCAAGAAAGTGACGTAATATCTCATTATTCTGGCATTTAGCAAATGAAAACAGTTCCATCATGTCAGACAAAAGAATGAAAAAAAAAACAGTTTGTCTCTTTTCATATCTGTTTTCACTTGTAAGAGTCATTAATTTATTCATTCCGAGTTGTTTGATTTAACATATATGGTTGTGTGTGTGAAGGCCCGTCTGCCTGTGAAGTGGATGGCCCCAGAGAGCATCTTTGACTGTGTCTACACTGTGCAGAGTGACGTCTGGTCCTACGGCATCCTCTTATGGGAGATTTTCTCTTTAGGTAGTGATAATCTCAGAGCTCACCTCGTATTCACCTATCCAGTCATGATCCACCTGCAAAACCTCATCAAGCTTTTTGGCTTTTCTTTCAGGCCAGAGTCCATATCCCAACATGGCTGTGGACACCAGGTTCTACAAGATGGTGAAGCGCGGCTATCAGATGTCCCAGCCTGACTTTGCTCCACTAGATATGTAAGCTCTTGCACCCTCTCTGCAGGATTCTGCTCATAGCAACCGGCTCAGCCCCTCTTTTACAATTTCTAAGGATAAAGCTCTGCCGAGCACTACCTCATTATCAGATGGGTTTGAGTGGGACATCAGGTGACTATCAGCAGGGTTTTTACAACTAACTCAGACATGATATTTGCCTCCCACCACCCAGCTCGTCGGTGCATGAGCAGTGATGATAGTATTTTGTTGCTGGCTTGGACGTAGCTGATGAAATAACATGCAAGTGACTTAAGATGACAACATTAATACTGATGATTAATTCTAAGTCGAGTACAGCATCACACAGACGAAGCAGACAGCTGCGCAAATGCTTATCGCAACAAAAACAAAGAGGCTTTTTTTCTTTCCGTTCTGATGTCTTCGGGCCTATCTCATATCTGAAATTACTGATACAGGAGATAGCTGGATGAAGCGCTTCCATTATGTCGGATTTTACTTCATTCTCAAATTCAGCGAGCTTAAACTGCAAAGTGACGGAGTGGAAAAACTCAAGGCTTTCTGCTCTGTGTCCCGTGGTTGGAGGGGCCGCAGCATCTGTGTACACCAATTTAACACCGTCGTCACACGAGTCGGAATCGCTGAGCTGTGGAAATGGAAGGGACTGAATCAGAGTCAGGGCCTGATCATCTGTTGTCCTGTTGTGAGTCAGGCCTCGGTTCTGCCTGTTAGCCACATGATCGCAGCGCCAGGAAGCTGTGTAACTTGCTATTTCACGGCCTCAAAATGGGACTCAGGGGCCGATGATTCTTATGAACAAGCCTCTCTTATTGAACTGCGTCACTGCCTTGACTGGCCATGCCGAGCGTGTTGCCGGAGTTGTGTTTTATGGTTTAGCTTGTGCCACACTGAGACCCCGCTTTCTGCTCTGTTCCAGGTACGTCATCATGAAAATGTGCTGGAACCTGGAACCCACAAAGCGTCCGACCTTTAGCAAAATCGGACAAATGATAGAAAAGCTACTGGGGGGCCACCTGGAGGAGGAGCAGGTGAGTTAGTGTGATTCCAGGCTGGACTGATCAAATCTGTGAAAGGAACAAAACCATGTGACGCTCCAGACCAAACATGTTTACTTTAACTTCGTTTTCACAGAGACAAAAAAGTTTGCTCTCTAGCCTAATTGGTTACGTTAGCGGTTCACAAACCTTTTTTCATCAAGTATCACTCCAATAAATGCAAATGGTCCAAGTACCAATAAGCTGTCATTTTAAACTGGTAATGTAACAGGAGCTATACTGGGAACGTTCTTATTCATTTGTGCTACGTGTTTGAAGTAAATTTTGGAATTTTAAAGATGGGAAAAAAAGAACAAGGAGACCATCTAAAGCAGACCCAGAATTTCTAAAAGAAAAGACAGTTTGTTTCGTACCAACCCAAATTGCTGCTTGGAGTTTGAAATTCAGTGATACCTGGAGAAACAAGCAATTTATTTACATTACAATCATTTGAGTCTCTCTAAATCTTTACATATGCATGATGTCCCCTTTACAAATTTCCTCTGTTTGTCCTTTTTTTAAAAAAAATAAAATAAAATAAATCAACTAGGCTAAAGAGCAAAATCTTTTGTCTCTGCGAAAATGAAATTAAAGTAAACACATTTGGTCTGGAGCATCACATGGTTTTGTTTCCCTTCGCAGATTTTTTAACACTTGAACAATTCAAATCAACAACTAAAGTTTCTAGATGAAGTTTCAAACAAAATTTCAAAGATAAACAGAAAATACGCTAACACTTTATTTGAAGGGCTGTGCATAAGACTGACATGGCACTGTCATAAACATGACATAACATCTGTCATGAACATGAAGAAATCTTTATGAATGTTTATGAAAGCTGTCATGAAGTGTCATTCAGTAAATAACGACACTTTTAATGCAAAGTTGCTCTAAAAGTTGCATTGAAAGTCCATTAAAAATGCCAACTTTGCATTAAATTATCATAACTTACAAAATCATGCAAAGTTATATTTATGGGCTATTTTACTGATTCCAGATCTGGATAATGGGCTCCACTCAATAAAACTTAGTTATTAATCCATTAAATTAAATTAAATATTTATATTCTGCGTCTCTAAGCATATCAACCATGCTCAAAACCTCTCCAGTATGTCTTATTCAAACAATTAAACAATTAAACAATGAAGCATGCGGTAAAAATAGTTCCATAGCGACGTAAATCCCTGATAACCTCTATGACCACCATACTCACTTAGTTATTAGATTTAAAAATGGATTATGTTTCTACATAGGTACAGCTGGTTTGGACAGTTTTCTTCCTCGAATAAGTACTATAATTTGGAAAATGTTTTTTTTTTCTGATTCTCTTTGATGTTTGACATTAGTTTGATTGTCTGAAACCTTTAAATACCAAAGAAGTAAAATCGGAAGAAATCCGGCAGGTGCTCTTAAAATCTGCTCCACTGAAAGTATCTGATAGCATCTGCTGGAAGCACAGATCAATGTGCCTAAAGCGGTCATCTTTTAGGTTAGTTGGGGTTTGTCCAGTTTGTCTCAGTACCACCAAAAGCAGGCTAACATCCATTGGCGGTACTTTCGCATCATAGTTTGAATTAAATTAGACTTGGAGGACATCACAATCTAAGAAAGGTCTCTGTCACAGACGAAACATGGAATCAGCAGAAGTATTTTGCACCTATCAAACCATTAAATGCTTCCTTCCTCAGGTAATCTACCAGAATATGCAGCAGGAGGTCACAGAGGCTGATGCCTATGACAAGCCTAAGTGTCACGATGGCCCCTGTGACCAGTCTTGTGACCACGACGAGGAGGAGCAGCCTCTGATGAAGACAAACAACTATCAGTTTTGTTGAAAGAGTCCCAAACAACAATACATTTGTAAAAAATAAAAAATAAAAAGCCACAGAACATTAAAAAAAATAATAGAATGATTCAACAAAATATAAACTGCTGCAGCCCAAGGCTGAGTCCTTTTATTTTTTTTTTTTTTTTTTTTTTTTTTGTTTTTTTGCGGCAGTGCAGACTGTTACCCTCTCGGCTATTTTTTACTCTCTTGTGCCTGTTCGCCAGACAGACGACCGGCTGCAGCGAAAGCATGTGACTCGCTTCTGTGCAGACCATGACTAGAAACTGCCAATTCCAACCTCGACTGCAAGACACGAAGGGAGGAATCATGTCAACAAGCATGCAAGCTCTACAGAGCTGTTATTATATTGAAAACATCGCCACTGGTGGACTGTTCATCAGTCTTTCGTCTTGCATAACATGTTTATTTTATCGGTTATCTGCTGTACATCGTCTTTATTACATTGTTTACTGTAACAAGGTGACAAGTCTTGTTTTTTTTGTTTTTTTTTTTTGTGGAGGTTGAAATCAGCAGGATCACTTCCTTTTTAAATGGTTTTTATTGCCAGCACGTGCAATATGAGCTTGCGTGTACTGCATGCGCAATAATAACTGCGAACATTGGACTAAAACGGTTCGATTTATGATTTTCTCAAAGTTAGTCAGTTTTTTTTTTTGTTTTTTTTTTCTTCTCACTCTTTTAGGTGAAGGTCGGAAAAACATGTTCCTTCCTAATCTGTACATGGTAAAGCAACTGAAACGAGGAGGCAAATGAATGACCATGTTGTTTTCTCGGTGCCTCGGTCATGGCTCGTTTTCTTTGCAATGCTCGTCAGTGGTTAGTAACGTGATTGTTCTGCTTCACTTTAATTAATTTAGCGGTGTAGTTTAGAAGCAGAAAGAATCTGTGGATGTATTCTGGGCCTTTCATGTCTGACAATGTGAACTTCTTATCGTTTTTTTTTAATGTACATTTTGTACGTGACAACTGGATCTTTTCATTCCCCGGCATTAGATGAATGTTTCACTAATGTCTGTATGTAGCAGTCAGCCTACACTGCCAACTGTAAGATGATTTTTAGAATGATTTATAAGCTATACGAGCGATACAGATGGAAAATTTGTGCGATGTCAGGCATTTTGTACGTGTCCGCGTCTGAAGGTGTCTCATAGTGTATGAGACAAACTCAAGTTATCTTTGTTTTCACTGGAATGTTGTAGATTGTAGCACATCGGTATTTCAGTGTGTGTTTTTTGTTTGTTTGTTTAAATCAGTGCAGATGCAGTTGTTGAATAAAATCTTACCAATAAAAGTCCAGCTCCCACTTCGGTAAACCTCGGAAGAACTTTGCAGTTTTGTGTTGTTGTTTTTTTTGATTTCCTGTGCAGACAGAAACTGTGGCCTTTGTCTTCCTCTCTCCCCACTTCCTCTTTTCAGTTGGACTTGATCCAATCTGAATTTCCTCTGGAACTTTTCCCACAATAACCCCGAATATTGCCAAACTCTGAAATTGTGTTGATAGACGTATCTAAAAATCTAAATGATGTTCTAGGTTTAGCCCCACCACGCAACATTTTCAGACTTTAAAGTAGTTCAACCATTTGCTTATTTTGCTTTACCAGAGACTAAAACTAACAAGTCACTCATCATTTGCAGATTCATTTATTCTGACTTATGTCCAAAACAAATATCTAAATAATTTAATTTTTCTTTTGCTTTTGAGAGAGAGAAAAAAGACCTTGACTTCTATGTTGATTCTTGGTTCCACATAGTTTCAAAATTGCACAAGTTAATCAATTCTGGTGAATACATATTTAAAGTTGTCAACCAGTTGCACAGAATGCCTCCAGTCTTGCTGGAGTTGCCAGCTGTGCCGTTAGTTTATCTCATCTGAGATATATATATATATATATATATATATATATATATATAGAGAGAGAGAGAGAGAGAGAGAGAGAGAGAGAGAGAGAGAGAGAGAGGAGAGAGAGAGAGAGAGAGAAATGCACCACTGGTCTGTAATTTTCTTCTTAAGTACACCTCGATCGTGAGGCAGAGAATGTAGAAAATAAAATCCGATAATCACATTGTATGATTTTTATCTAATAAATTAAATTTTTTATGCATGAAATAAGCATTTAGTCACCAACCAACCTGTGGCCTTTCACCTTATGGAGCATCAATGCTCCTGAGAAAGCCCAGAACTACGAGGCAGGTCAATGACCGGAAGATTTTTTTTTTTTTTTTTTTTTTTTTTGACACACAGGTGTACAAACATCAACAAGCTTAGGCAGGTAAATTTATGTTTGCTCTGCTTTAATAAGCACCAAAAGTACACATAACTTTTGTTGTTTCTTAAAGGCCAATGGATTAATACGGATTAAATCAATTCACACAGCAGCCCACATTAAATATATATTTTTCACAAAATAATATCATGCAATTTAAACACTACTCTCTGAGGTCCATTTTTATATAATAACCCAGTGGAAAATAGCAGATACGCAACATATCTGTAAAAATCTGCTCACAAGGTTACAGAGAGGTAAGCCTGTAAAACACAAAGCAGAAATGTCTTGATATTTTTTAAAAATGCTATAAATATGGCACATAGAGAACAATGCAGAACATGGTTTGCATTAGTTCAGTTTACATTCTTTTAGTCAGAAGGAGACCGATTAGTGGTACCACAGTATACTGTACCAATGTTTCAAAGTTACGATTTCTCCGTCATACAGTTTCTATAATTAAAAGTCCTTTCACTGAGATGTCAGGGAAACGACCAAAGAGTTTTCTCTGCAAACGATCAACTGACTGAAAGAAAGCTACATCACTGTTCCTGCAATAAGTACAACAAATTCAGTGGATTGTGAAATAATTAAAGAAAAAAAAACTGTCATGACATTGAAGATTAAGGACCATATACTGTGAAAAATGACAAAAGGTTTATATTTTCTGCTTGTATCAAAATATATAATTGCTATGTCTATGCTTGCAAAACAACTGAGTAATATAAAATAAACTTTACATGTAATGACCAATATTACATGTAATATGCATTATTTTGGAAGCAGAAGAAATTGCTACTTTTACATTTAAGACAAAAGCAGATCGTGTTTTATATTTTTGTGTAAAAAAATAAATAAATGTGAAAGCAAAGCAGCTTTATGAAATGATAGGAATCTAAAATCAGCTGATGTCAAAACTTGGGCCTTGGATTTGTCAGTATATGAACTTATTCCATAAACATCCTGGCATGAAACCAAAATTACACTCTTTATCATTTACAACCGACAGTTTCATAAATAGCATCAAAGCGTCCATTTTTAAAGTCTTCAGTAGTATTATTGTTTATGCTTGAAAAAACATTGGGAAGCATTCCATACGCTTAAAAAACTTTATAAAACTCAATATATTAACAGTAATCACTGCAGTCTGTGACAGCTTTCACTTCCACAGATTTCAATCCACCCTTCAACATGTGACCAGCACCGTATCAAATGTATTGTTTTTTATTCTGTCTCCTCCGTAATACAAAAGTTATTTCTAGACCTGCACTGCTTCCAAAATCCTTGCCCTCCCTGAATCTCTTTTTATGGCATTAAAAAGTCCAACCAAGATTTTATTTTTTAATTGCTTAGAACCATTAATTGCTTCTCTCCTTCTTCTTCCGTCTGTGCGTCTAATCTCGCTCCTTCATCTCCGTCTGTGTTTATCTGTGCCACTCCGAGTCGGTACAGAGAGTCTCTGATGACCACCTCTCCAGGCTGACAAGCCTTCACAACCTGGCTGATCTGCTGGTTCACTATGTCTCTGCTGCTGAGGAAGTCTACAAGTCGGTTGTACAGGTAGTAATAAGCCGTGTTGTTGAAAATCATGGGCTTTGTGTTCACATCGTCTTCTGGTTCTTTCAAAGAGTCGTTCTCCGGTATGTCGGTCTGCTCCTTCATGTTTTCCTCTTTGTGATGCTCCTCTTTCTTTAAGTCCAGCTCTGTTAGCAGGTTGATGTACGGCTCCAGATCTCTGCAGCGGATCATGCGGTGGTGCTCCTGAGCAGGAGCGTCCCGCGCTGCCCCTGGAGGATAAGCCAGCCAGCAAGAGGGGGATTTTGTGATGGGGTGAACCAGCTGGTTCTCTGCTACCAAGGAAAGGTCAGCGGCGTACGGCTGATCCTGCAGCTCAGGGCATGTCACGAACTGAAACAGAAACTAAAGTTTGTCTGGGCAGAAACTTACTGAAAACAGAGTCGCAGAATGCTAAATAAATAAAAGAAAAAAAGAAGTTTCATTTACTGGATTTAGATCAAATCTGCATCTAGCTGAGCTGTGCATTCAATCAACAAATAGATTATGCTTTTGTCTGTGTCGTCAGTGTGGAACTTTGGTTAGTCTTTCTACGCCTCTTCTTTTATTTGTATCCCTGTAAATTTTTCGACTTAATTGAATAAATGCCAATTGAATAAAAGTTTCTCGGTTTGTAGACTTTCTGGAGACACTTACTTCTGGCTTTTCAAAGGGGTCAGAGAAGCAGCCCTGGTTTCTGCCCCACATCTGCGTTGCCAACTCTGGATACTGCAGATCGGTGCAAAGCGCCACTTGACGAGGACAGTCGCAGACGTAAACCGGAGGCCAGTAACGGGAGGAGAGGAGCAGATCGACGTGGTCTCGAGCCGTCTCTCCTCTCACCAAGTACTTGGAGGAACACACCACCTACAGGCGGTTTGAGCAAACAACATCTAGCGTTCTAGAACCGTAACGCACAACCAGAAATAAGCCAGAAATGTGAAAATCATTATGCAATGAAGCCTATTGCAATAGTCAACAAGTCAATTAATTGAACTCTTTCTCCACTTTTAAATGGAATCAATAGCAGATCATTCCATCAAGGTCAGACTTTAAATGTAAAACCTGAAAAAAAACCCAAAGACCGTAACGTTTTCACCGCTCTGTCTTCATGCGAGCGAGTACACAACCATGATCCAGTTAAAGAAAATAGTTCTTACAACAACCTCTTAGGAAGTGATGATGCACTAGTTTACTTTATACACTACATACTCAGAAGAGGAGATAAAGGAAATGACCTAAAAACAATGACCGTTTTCTTGCTGTTAATGCTGATTAGTACCCTTCCTGTCCATAAAACAACTGTCCACACTGGGGAAAACGGCAGAGGTCCTCTAACCATTGTTTCTTTAATACAAGTGTCGCCGTTTTTTGTTCTTCTGCTCATGATCTCAAACTTTACATTTATCTACTCTGAGTCTGGAAACACCAACTCCCAACAAGGAGAATCACCGTCTCTGACGACTCCTCAGGATGGGATTTTATTTGCATTAAAGGTGTTATTTCAAATATGGCAAATAATCTAAGAAATGTGCAACTTTTAGAAAAAGGTACCACAAAAATCTGTAATTTCAGCCCACAACAATCACAAAAAAAAAAAAAACATAGCAAGCTCTGAATGGACTGATAGTTGGATGGAGGAACTAATGAAGCAGTGAATGTGTCATGGGTGGATGGACATAGTGCCTATCGAGACGTAGAAGATTATTCCAGACTGCTTATGGATCATGTGTATACAATGGATTGTATTGGAGGCTTAAAATGTCATAATGGCTGCAGTTGGAGCATTGATTGATTTAATTTATTTTTTTTCCAGGAACATGATAACATTTATGGGCTTGTTTTAATCATAGCCATTTTGAGTTTCACTGAAACTAATTTAGTGGCTGAACAGCAAAGGGGAAAAAAAATACAGCAACAATGGCAACTGAATTTATCATCTTAGCAGCAGATTGTCAGAACCCAAATTCACTCAAGCTGACCTGACTTATTTAGCTCATCCCAACTTCACATCCAGCATTTATTACAGAGAGGGGACTTGTAATAAAAATAAAGAATGAAAGTGGGGCAGAAATATGCAAAAGATGCACAGATAAGAGGACCGGTGTTTCACCTTGTGGGGGCACATCTTGGACAGCTTGCCAGCGGTGAGATGGGCGGGTGGCTGTGGAGCCGTGGGAAGGCCACTGTGGACATGTGTGTACAGGTTGACCAGGGAGGCCAGAAGCTCGTTCTAGCAGTGAGACACAGAAAACATGACTTACTGCAACAAGAACATTCATTTTAAAAGAACAATTAAAAAGCCAAATTACAAATGAGCATGTGAAGAGGAGATTTAACCCAGAAAGCCCAAAGATGGAGATGTTGGATGAAAGATTTTGTCTATTTATAGAGAGAGGAATTGATTAGTGTGTATTAACTGCAACGGTAAAAGTTATAGTTTTGCTATTGTTTGAAATAATATTACTGAACTTCATCTTCTAGTGCAACTGATTTCACTGGGTATTATTTTAGGGTGTCAAAGTAAAAGCACGCTGAATATAAATGCATGTATTTGTAAAATAATTGTTATTTTCCTTCCAGTTCAGAAGTACTACATTACGTCAGTCAATCAGATAAAATCCCTACAAAAACTTTGAAATTTGTGGCCGTTAGGAAGGAAAATATGAAACAGCTCAAAGGGTGTAAACTGTTTTGTTCAAAGGCTACGGTAAACCCTGGCAAAAGGCTCTCTGGTCTTTGTTGTGGCTCATTTGTTTCGTTCCCAGACAAACACACACCTTCGTGGAGCCAGGGGTGAGGTCCACTCCACAGCTATCCAGTATGGCTCTCAACTCATCCTCGCTGTGATCTTCGACCCTGTCGAGTCTGAGCTGACCGTCATGGATGAGACGAACCAAAACTGACGGATCTCCTGGAAACATCAGAAAATGATCTGATAGCCAACAAACCCAACCCACTGAAAGAAAGATCCCATAAGCAGAAACACGCAATCCATTTGTTTTTAATCTGTAAATAAAGCAAATGGCTATTGCGATATTGACACATTTGTTTATTTCTCAAGTCTGAGGCTGTAATAAGTGTAAGCAACATGATTCGGCAGGTGTGCGTACCTGCAGGCTGCTGTATTGGTGGCATGAGCTTGTCTTTCTCCGTGTTGATGACAGTGGGGCTCCTCATCAAAGGCGGCGCGAAAGGAGCGATGATGGAAGCATCCACCCGCGTGATGGGGATGTCTGCGGGGAAAGCCGCTTGCTCGATCGCTTCCCCCTCCATGGTCAGCCAGAAGTCGTCTACGTGAACTTCGTCTGAGACCGAACACTCCGGCCAGGTGAACTGCAGGATAAAAAGGCGCATGACGTTCCCAAATCAGCTGAAAAATTACAAGCATGTTACCGATTCCATCAACAGTCTGTCACCTCCACATTCTTCAGCTCCAGCACGTCGTTTCTGTGTCTTTGCGCAATCTCAACTTTCGGGGCAACGCCACAAATGCCACAGATCATGTCGTTGTAATCCCGCATCGTCAGACACTCAAAAGCCCAGTAGCCGCTCAGGAAAAGCTCCTGAACGTGAGATGATTCCTCTGCAGTAAGACTATGGACTAATGTAAGAGTAAACGCATCAAAAGGCTGATAATAAATAAATAAATAAATAAATAAATAAATAAATAAATAAATAAATAAATAAATCTACTGTTGAATAAATGCATGTAGAGGTAAACTGGACTTTACTTGGATGATTTTGGATTTGGTCAAACACAGACTGTGCGGCGAGAGGTGGTGTCTGGCCCAGTTTGATGTTGGCTCTGATCTTCAGAAATAAGTCAAGACTCACAAGGAGTCGATTCCCAACATTGAACAAACCTGAACAAACCAGAAAACAAATTATTAGACAGGAATGATTGACTATTCTAACACAGCATTACATGTTATGTTGGGTTCCTGTACGGACGCAGCATGTGGCTCGTTCTCCATGGATGCCATGAAATAGGGAGAGAAAAAAAAAAAAAAGCTAAATATGCCAAGATACAGACAGAGAGATCTTCAGCTAATACAATATCCATTTAATCATGTGAGTTGAGGGCAACTCTGCCAGGCGAAATAAAAGCTCCTCTCAGGTTGTCCTGTTGGCCGGGATCCTCAGATAATGATTGAGTTTTAAAGGAATCTACTTAAAGTGTTTCTTAGAAACTGAAATTCATAAAAATTAGACAACTAGAGCCAGATTTCAGAGAAAAAAAAAAACTGAAGACAGAAACATATGTTGCTTAGACATAAAACATTTTCTTTTCTGTCAAACAATATGAAGCAGTGTTATTATCCACTGATCTGCTTCTAAAACTAAAAAAAGAAGCTCAAATAGGGATAATAGATAAATGGAGATGCAAAGTCCTTTATTATGTAATAATAACCAGACTATTAAATATGATGAAGATTTTGGTAAGACACTCACTTTCTTTTCTCAGAGAAAAAAAAGGTAGAAAGGTATCCAATTAGTTTGTGAGACAGATTTTGTTGTGCTATAGCGCCCTCTTGAGGCCAATTGGTAAAACAGCGTGAATAAGAAACATCCACAACTAGTCCAGAGTTTAAACCAGGCTGGCCCTATTCCAACAGGCGATTACACAAAAAGTACATTTTAAAACAGTTTTTCCTTGGAATTAAAACAAATGATGCTCAGAATTATACAAATCTGCTTTACTGCAACAGCTGAGCGTGTGTGGTTACCTGGATGCAGATCTGCAAAGCTGTGCAGGGCCAAACACCGAAGGTTGGGACACACTTTGAGTTGCAGAGACGCCGTCTGCATCAGCGTCTCTGTGAGCAACCAGCAGTCCTCCTGCCCGGCAACAGTACTGCAAGGTCCAATTGTAACCACGTATGCAAGTTTACGTTAAATCTCAGAAATCAAAGAAGTCAAAGCTCTTCGTGCATGGCCTTACCCCCGCTCTCCTTTCAACAGACGGTAGCTGCAGAGGCCGCAGTGTGTAGCTGCTGATTCATAAAACTGAGGCCACCCCGTCTCCAACAGCGTCTCAGTCTCAGCATCACTTCCCTCACCGTTCTTAACCAGGACTATTTTAACGCTGTTCAGCTCCTGGATGAGGCTCATTGTTTCCTGCAGCTCTGTGTCGCTCTCAGGAATCTGCAGGGTGCTGCGGATCAGCTGCAGAGTGCTCTGGCGCTGGACGTCCCTCTGAGCAGGACTCAGGTCCTGATGGGGATCCAGCAAAGTCTCAGACTGAGGAGGAAACAGAAAGTTAGTGAGAGGATTTCATGCACACAGCAGTTGGCATCAGCAAATCGTGTTTGCAAGTAAATAATTTGATGATGAGTGCTGTGAAATTGGATGATTAGCACTTGACTAAACCTGATTGTTCATCAGTTACTCATAGAAGCACTCTTAGGTACGGAAGTTGTTACTGAGGGAAAGAAGAGGCAAAGCCTTATAGCATCAAAATGTGATAAAAAAAAAAGTAAATAGGACAATAACTATGTCATAAAAAAATGTAAAATGTGTGAAAGACCAAAGAGAAAAAAATCAGCTATCCATCTTAGGTGTACTGAAGCAGCCGTCACTGAGCCGTCACAGCTCTGAGCTTGAATTCAACCAGTGCGCCATCCATCTACACTTTAAAAATAATCTGGATGTTGTGTTTCTCTTACCTTTGGAGGCTTGGTATTCTTTCTGGTCAACTCGCTGCCACATTTCGGGCACACAGCAGGTTTGTGACGGTTCTTATACATGTAGTCGCATGCCGGGTTCTTACAGCGGCCCCTGCCTCGTGCTGTGGATAGCCCCAAATCCTGAAACGACACGCAAAAAAAAACAAAAAACATCTGTCACACAAACAGAAAAGAAACCACAGAGAAACAAATTTTCCATGAAAAGCACGGGGTTTACTTACAAAACAGGAAACCGTGTGTCTGAAAGGCACTAGGGACAAAACATTCACACCTGTGTCAGGAGTGGAAGTCGCATGTTTACTCCTGTCTGCTGAGATGGAGGAATCCTGCAGAGGGGGACGCAGTGAGTGAAGAAACTTGACCTCATCACTGTCGCTCTGTGTTTTCAGTGTTGACGTGTGTGTTTTCACCTGGGTGGTTGTCGTCGTTGGGGCGGTCTGGCCAAGCTGCTTTAAAGTGCTGGGTTTAAGACTCGACAGAATCTCTTGAGGCACTGTGGCTACAAGCACAACCACGTCAGATGAACACCGAGCACATCTAGAAATTACATTTCTTCTTCGTGCATGTCAAACGTGTCGTGAACGCATTCGCGCAGCGCAAAGTGGGAAATTACGTTAAAAGTACCTGCTGCTGAATGGCTGCTTGTAGAGACGCCTTGAGGTTTTTCTTTCTCGGGTGCCACAGTCAAGATCTGAATCACAGCGTTGCCTGCGAATCAACCCAAACACAAGCAAATGTGTTGACCCGGGTAATAGCAGCTTATTACCTGAAGTATATGCCGCGGGATGTTTGTCCAGTGTTACCTGGGTTACAGACGGCAGGAAGGATGGGTCTCACGGGCCTCTTCTGAACAACAGCACAGCTTCTCGCTGGTTTCTGATGCGTGCTTTTGGTATTCACTTTTATTTGTTTACTTTAAAAGAGAAAAATAAAGAATGCAGTCAGATATTCATTTAAAAAACATGAAATGTCCAGTGGATTACATTGACTAAATTCTTCTAAGATAGAAAAAAACAAACAATAGCTTTTTCACTAAATTCCTTTAAATAACCAGAAATATGTAGATATTCAAGTTCAAATGAAACAACAATTTTTCTAAAGATTTTGAACAACTTACAATAAAGATGTTTGAAGGTTCAATATAAATTTGAAATGTTTACTCCTAGGGTCAGCTTGTTTATATGTAATATGTAACATGGCTATCGATGTGTAACTGGATCCTGGATAAAGTTTTATGTCACTTCATATCAGTTTTGAGGACAGTAGAAATTCCTGAAATCATTTATTACAACTATTGTTATTTTGTAAGTCTAATTTTATAACTAAAAGAGCTCCATTAAAAATCACAAAGATACCAAACTGCGGAAAAATAACAACCAACACCTTGATAATGACGTGTTGCTGCTGCCCTCTGGTGGTGCTGCAGCTGATAGTGCAGGCTGTTTTCTGTTGCTCCGATTAGCTTGTCCTTCCTTGTTACCGCCACCAGATGTTTTGCTGGTGTCTGCAGAAACATGCAGTGCAGCCTGACGGCTTTCGTCACTCTTGTTGTCAGTTGTTAGCTTGGAAGCACCAGCTTTATCTTGTGTCCGTTTAGCCTAGAAGAAACACAAATGCAGTCAAAACCAACTGAGTCAACCGAGTCAGAGCTGTAAAGAATACTTTATATCAAATATCGCCTGCTAGAAGCAACTGAACCTTTACAGCAGGTATCCATTTTCCTCCCAAGTGGCTCCCACACTCGGGACAGGTAGGTGGTTTGTGTCGAGTGACGTAAACAAAAGAGCAGCCAGGATTCAGACACCTCCCCCGACCTCTCCTTGTGTATGTCTTTACAGACTGCAGTAAAGAAGAAATAACTCACTTTTTTTTTTTCAAAATTTATTTTAGAATAAACTCTGCCTTAAAAAAAATGGGTTTTTACCATTTTATAAGAAGGTTTGGGAATCTGGTCTGATTTGGCCCCTACAGATATCATCATGACTGGCTGCAGGGAACTAATGCCTGCTAAAGGCTGAGGCTCCAGTTGACTCTTGAAAGAAGGATAATTGGGAGAAACACTTACTGAAAATAAACTGCTTAGCTGAAACATTTAATTTCCGTTTTAACGTTTAAATTCCTGTCGTAAATCATTTACGTAAAGATCTCACCTGAGAGGGCACAATGGTCACCATCTGCGTAGCTTCTCGTTGCATCATTTGCACTGCTACTCCACCGGCTTTTGTGTTCAGTGAGACATCATTCAGCATCTCATCAACAGAACCCTGCGAGCCCTGGACATCTGTGGAGGTCAGGGTTTTGGATGAAGACCATGGTGAAGTTCTTTGGGGAGAAGACACCACCGTTTCCTCTGCTGTATCACTGGGAACAGTGGGGGGCTCTGAAATCTCCACCTCTGCGGCCAACTCAACAGGCGCTACCTTGGACTTGGGGACCCTGAGGGCGACCGAGCACAAGCTTCCTTCAGCCGAAAAATCAATCGATTCGATGCACACTTCTGACTGAGAGCCTACAGCTTGATAATTAGGGGAGGCGCTGTTGGGCACCAGGAAGCAGTTGGCTCTGGGGAGGATTTTGCGGAAGCCCGGCAGGTGTTTACTGGAGCTTTGAGATGTCTGAGGAAAAAAAAAAATCACAAGTAAGGAAGTTGTTAAAGGCTTCTGAAAGCACATCAGAGAAAAAGATGAGAAAAAAAAATCGGTTTAGTCTCATTCAACTGGTAGCAAACTTAAGATCTCTATCTATATATATATATATATATATATATATATATATATATATATATATATATATATATATATATAT